CTTATTATTTTACATACTAATTCTTATTCATTTTTGTCTACTTCATATACCATTGTATCTCAAAACAAATTACATTTTGGCAAATATAAATAATTTTGGTTATATAAGAAAAGAACTGATTTAATTAGGGTATCAAGGTAAGAAATTTAATATTTCCCATATTATATTTGGGGTTTGCTAACCTTCTGTGATGTATATTATAGCACTCTCAGCTTTTTGAAAAGCAGCTTTTGAATGATTATTCTATTGTTGAAAATCTTATGGTAATAATGTTCACATTTTGTTGAAAGAAAATAGTCATAGAGAAGTAATTTAATGGCTGGTTTTTATACAAGTAAAGAAAATCTGTTTAAACTCGATTTCAAAGAATCCTTTCTTTCCTGTGGCACAGCAACTTGCTTGTTTCATTTTGTCCCATTTACATGGCAGTGACATGATCAGCTGATATCCCCATTTCCTCAGAACTCGGAAGCAAAGGTTCTGTTCAATACTGGGATGGAAAACATGCAGGTTCCAGCTGTGAAAGATATTGCTTGGCCACTAGGAGGCAGTCCACCCCTGGACCACATTTACATAAACTTGGGATGATGTACTGTAAGAGTAACACTCCATTGGAGAATTAACATTAAACTCATACCTTGGCTACTAGCTCATTAAAGATTCCACGGTACTTCTTTACAAAGAAAATGGAGACTAACTCCACTGTACTTACTAAATTCCACTTTTAGCTTGCAGTATTTGGCCCATCTAAGTTTCCTTTTAACTCAACTCTCCACCTGAACTCCTGATTAATGTAGCACTTTCAGCCAAGTGGATATTGTATTCTGGGATACTGGTAAAGAATAATTATTGCCTTCACCATCTACAAATAGTTTAGAAGTTTGCATATTCAATTTATGGCTATGTTATATTGTGGTTACAATATTAGAATTTGCAAAACAGTATAGCACTTATGAAAAAAACTATAAGAGCTGCATATGTGATGAAGGCATCTTCATCACAATATCACTGTCTGAGTCAGATGCATTGTCATACTAACATTTCTTTGCATTGTTTTTAAAGTATGGTATTCTTTTGTCTCTCTGAATATTACAGTATATCAGTGTGCCACCTAGTGCTCCTGGATTGGAGTGCAACACTGTGTTAAATTGGTATTACTGTGTGATGAATGCAAATGCAGCTGTTGAGTATTAAAATATATTTATTTAGGACTATTTTGTCTTTTTAATTGGACATTGATTTTGAGGGTTACATACAAAAAAGAACATTTTAAATTGCTGGATTAAGGGGATTGATTCAACTGTCTCAGGCACATTTATTTTATACGTTATATGCTCTATCTCCATAAGAAAATATATCACACCATTTCAAGTGTGAATTAAATTGCAAATTCACTTTCTACAATCATCTAGCTTGTTTGGTTACTCTCCTGTGTTGTCCAGATTTCAAACAGTAACCTTCAAAACAAGTAAATACTGTTCAGGGACTATTTGTTTCATCTAATTACTGAGCTGTTTTCAAATTTCAGATTTCTAGTACCACTAATTAACAGTCAGGTATCTAAACTAAAGTGCAATTGAATGATAAAGGCTTAATAAAAGCCTCACCTGTACAACACAATATTTTCTTCAAATCTTTTCTTGCTTCCATTCTGTTTTCAAACGACTGCACATTATCGATAAATATGTCGTATTCTGAAGTAGAACAAATTTAATGTTGCTCCTTATGGAAAGGAGATATAAATCACAATTGTTGCTTGATCTGGGTCATGACAGTAGTGTTTTGGTAATCGTTTTTTAAATAAAAATTCTGAATGTTAGATTTTGTTGGTGCTGTTGTCTAACACTGCTGCTATCTCTCCGGGTCTGCACAGTGCGGACGGGGAATTTGCAGTGACCCATATGACCAAGGCCCACCTGTTCTACAATGGCATGGTGCAGTGGGTGCCCCCAGCCATCTACAAGAGCTCCTGCAGCATTGACGTCACCTTCTTCCCATTCGACCAGCAAAACTGCAAGATGAAGTTTGGTTCATGGACATACGACAAGGCCAAGATTGACCTGGAGCGCATCGAAAACACTGTAGACCTCAAGGACTACTGGGAGAGTGGGGAATGGGCCATCATCAATGCAGTGGGCACATACAACACGAAAAAGTATGACTGTTGCCATGAGATCTATCCTGATATCACCTACTTCTTCATCATCCGCAGGCTGCCCCTCTTTTATACCATCAACCTTATCATCCCCTGCCTGCTCATTTCCTGCCTGACAGTGTTGGTCTTCTATCTGCCTTCGGACTGCGGTGAAAAGATCACCTTGTGCATTTCTGTGCTGCTCTCCCTCACTGTCTTCCTGCTGCTGATCACTGAGATCATCCCCTCCACCTCCCTAGTCATACCCCTCATTGGAGAGTACCTCCTCTTCACCATGATCTTTGTCACCCTCTCCATCGTCATCACCGTCTTCGTGCTCAACGTCCACCACCGCTCACCCAGCACCCACAAGATGCCCCGCTGGGTGAGAACTGTCTTCCTGGAGTTCATCCCCCGCTGGCTGTTCATGAAGCGCCCCACCCTAGACGAGAAACGCCAACGTCTCCTGCAGCAGCAGAACCATAGTGAGGCCAAGCTCAGCACTTCCAGGTACTGGCTTGAGACTGATGTGGACCTCAAGTGCGACGACGCCGAGCTGGGCCTTCCCTCTTTCTCCTTCTCCTCTGCTAGTGCTGCTTCCCCTCGCCTCATACCCGCCCACAGCCCACTCCCTCAAAAACACAACCTCCACCACCGCCTAGAGGGCATGGCCCGCCAGCTTGGCGGCCGGGTCAATCCCACCCAGCGCCCTGCTAAAATAGACAACCTGGTGTCCGACTCGAACTTCCCCTTTTCCCCCAGCATCCTGCGTGCCCTGGAAGGTGTACACTACATCGCAGACCACCTCCGGGCCGAAGATGCAGACTTCTCTGTAAGTGGTGTCTTTGTATTAATAAAGTTAGTCTGCAGTAGGAAGCGACAGCTTTGTTTGCAGCAAACGTGGTATTAGAATCTGTGAGTTTCTTCTCTTATCTGCGCTTATCTGGGAAAAACAGTTTCTATTTGTTGCACTAAGAAAAGGGACAAAAGGGAGTTGTCAGTTGCCCTTCTACCAACTAAGATTTTATTAAATTTCTCTCATAATCAAGTGCTTTCAGAAACGACAGTATACCATTAATAATCAGACCATAAACCACTGAGAAACACATGGTCAGATAATTCAAAGGCAAAATATTTTTCAATCAACGGCTTTAAATGTGATAGATGCAGATTTTGTCTGTATGTGGAATTGAGTTTTCATCTAAAGGGGTCATGAGGCCAAACCTTTGTTGGGTCATTGATTACAGTACCAATTTGATTCTTTTATTTAGTAAACCATTTTCAAATTGTTTTTATAAACTTTAATGATCTCCCATTAACAGTGTATTTAAAATTCAAATGACATCTGACTAGTAGCATTCTGGGATAGTGGCGAGTGCCGTTTCTTCACAGATCTCGGTTCCCGGGGAGATGTGTGTGCAGAGTTTGCATGTTCACTCCCTATCCACATGGGTTTACACTGGGTGCTGTGATTTTCATCCCCAGTCCAAAGACACGCTGTCTAGATTAGTTTGCATGTCGAAATAGCCACCTGTCCTGTGTATGCGTGCCCTGTGATGGACTGGTGTCCTGTCCAAACGATTTTGCACCCTTGTATCCATTGACTGCTGGCTGGGGCTCCGGTTCACCCAGACCCTGCATTGGATTCATAAATATTGAAAGTGTTTAGACAGATTTAGAGAGTTATTTCCCTTTTCTTATTTTTTCAGGTGAAAGAGGACTGGAAATACGTTGCCATGGTAATTGATCGCATCTTCCTCTGGATGTTCATCATTGTGTGTTTACTGGGCACGATTGGGCTGTTCCTTCCACCCTGGCTTTCTGGGATGATTTAGGCCTCACTATTTACAGGATGATGGTTGGTTGATCTGCTGTTAAAGACTTGAACACCGAAGGGGCATGCGTGACTGACCAAAGCCTGTGCTACCTGGACGCACTGGAGAAAAGGTCCAATGATGTCTCTTTATTATCAGGCAGAGACCAGAAACAGTGGAGTGCAGAGCTGTTTTCTCAGGGTGAAAAAGGCATGTCTCTTACAGTCTTTTTTTTTTTAACAAAAGCACCCTAGCTCCTTCAAGAAACAAAAACCACAGAGACCCCTTGTTTCTCTGGATGAGTTCACTCCCTGCTACTGCTGCCACTGAAATAGTTTTATTATATTTTTAAATGCAACGTTGTACCATAAAATAAAAAAGTACGGTTGCCCAGTTGACTGCTAACTTTCATGTAGTCATGTAGAAATATTTCTTTTGGATGCAGAGAACTATATTGGACCCTATTAAAATATACCTTGTACCTGAATGGTAAAATGGATGGAGGCTCATTATTGATTATTAAGAATATATCATACTACTGTATGCAGAGAATCTGGTAACCACTGAAATAACTTGTACAATTTGCAAGACATAGACAAAGCATAATTCAGTCTTGTTTTATTTGTACATGAAATGTACATGTCATATCTAGTACACTGGAATCTGTTCATACATGTACAGTTAAACTTTCCTTTTTCCACAGTCACTGCTTGTTTCAATATTTATGTAGGATGTACCATATATATAACAGGCAGTGAATTTCTAAAATCTAACATATACAGTACAAGAGACAATTCCAATAGAAGCAAAAATTATACTTTTATATAATCACCCAACACAAGTTTAATAGTTCTTGCCCAGCATAGATTATAAATGAACAATATACTTTGTTATGTTCTGCACAAACACAATTTTGTCATTGTATACATCATCTATAAATGATGCAAATATTATTGCTAGTGGCAGGTATAAATTATTGAGTTAATTTGTAATACTATGTATGTTCATTGTAAATGATTAGATGGAGCTAATTATTTTACAAAATTCAAAGTGCTGTTCCTCAGTTACTTTCATATCTCATATTTCACTATATCAAACAAATGAATTAACACATACTGCACCAGTAGGCATTTGAGCAGACACTTTTGTTGTGTTGCAGTGCTTTTTTAGACTGCTTAAACGAAAACATCTATTGTTGTGGCAACAGGCTGATACTATAAACTGTAATTTTTCAAACAAACTCTTCAGGGACTAGCTCCTGGTCTTATTGGGAAAATCAAAACTGAACATCTTTCTGAAAAGAAAACTACAGCTATCATATTTGTGTTTGAATACATACAGTATCCAGTTTGCATGTATATCCCAGAAAAAAGGAGTGATCTAGCTACAACATCTGTAAATGAGATGTAAGCAACAGGTACTGTATACAAATATCAGACTATTTAACTGTAGCCACTAATTGCAGGATGCTACAGGTTTCCACGCTAGGAGCATATAATTATAAGGGTCAGTAATCCCATCAGTGGTATGCAAAACTCCACATGGCTCTTCTCAACACATGTGGGTATTTATAGTCCATTGTTTAACACATCCATTTGCATTAAAATCTGCCTTCTGGACCCAGAGGAAACAATGGCAGATCATTGTTATCTTCACCCAGGAAAAATGCCAAACAGATATGCAAATCTAGAATTACCTTGTGAAAAGCTCAAACAGACTTCAACATAAAGGGCTCTGCTGGTTCACTAAACCCATTGTCCATGTTTTAAGACACTTTTATTTTATGCACAACTCATGGTCTTTAGATTTAAATTATGGAACATTTTATCTGAAATCGGAAACTGTTAAAATAAAGCCTATTGTGCGGCCCATCAATGATGGAAAGCATTGCTCTTAAGAATGAAAGTGAAATGAGCCATTTTAGAATGTCATGCACATTTTAATCAAAACCAAAGGACAAAACAACAGGAAAAAGGTCTGTTTGTAACTTTTATATGTCTATCATAATCAAAATATGCCTCTTTTTCGTTTTCACATGAATGAGATCATGAAAAATATACAGTTGCTGAAATCCATGTAAGATTCCCAATGTTAGGAACTCTCATCCCTCTTCAAATGTTTTTGGGAACACTAATCTCCCCACAAAAGTATCTCCTTCTAAATAAACTTTAGGCTGCGAATTGTGGAAGGTCATTATAAACAGAACTGACAAAGCTAGAGTAGCTTTGGCTATACCAAACATGAGAAAAATGGTCCATTATCATCTGGGGTTTTCTCACATCCATGTTTCTATTTTTTAAATATCTATAAGCGCACAACAAATATCACAGACATTTTCTGCACAGCCCATAGGCTTTCACTTGAGCTGCAACTTAGTCTGCACTCCTAATCTCCAAAACTGTTGTCCAGTGATGTTTTACTATTTGCATTGCACACTAGTGTCTATGTGGCTGTAATGGGGCTTGTTTCACAGACTATCAGTGCTACCTTGTCAGCAAATGAGCGTTCTTAATTTGTGTGCTATTTGGCCTTGGCCAAGTGTCACGGGGTCTTAATTTAATAGTAAATTTCCATTATGGATTTCATGTGCCACTTAATGCAGAAGATTGTAAAGAACATAAAGAGAGGTTACAAACAAGAGAAGGCCATTCTGCCCATCTGGTCTTTTTGGTTGTTGGTACTGATCAAAGGATCGCAACCTGCAATTTCTTGAAGGAAACCAGGAGATCAGCTTCAACAACATGACTGGGTAGCTTGTTCCATACTCCAACAACACTTTGAGTAGAGTTCCCCTATTATTACTTTTAAATGCACATCCAAGTAGTTTCCGCTTATGTAATTTGGTTTGTGTTTCACCATTCATTTTGAAGAAGTCCACTAGGCTCAATACCTTTGAGGGTTTTGAATACGTGGATGAAGTCACCTCAGACTTCATTAAAAGGGGCATTTACCAACTACAGCAAGCAGTCTTAGATATTCATAAATCTGACATATGAGGTCAAGGATAATTCCTGAAACATGAACTAAGTACAAACATCAATACAGCTTTCTTTGCAGAACTATTAGCAACAGGCAAAGTGAAATTCCATATTTAATGTTATGTTTGTATTAGAAATGTCTATGTACAGTATTACAATGAAGACCTGTAAAAACACATTCTATCACTTCCCATTAATAGTTTCCATTTGTTCATTTTTAACTTTTCATTTATTTTGTTAGTGAAAATGTCTCAATTACTATTATGGCATTACCAGACATGAAGTGTTAGAGAAACAAATGCTGTGTGCTTGAGTACCTTCGATATAATGGTTTCAGTATTATTAATCAGGAAAATACCTTCGATATAATGGTTTCAATATTATTAATCAGGAAAATGCCAGAATAAATTATTCCTGCACAGCATTCATTGGTTATTGATTATTCATAAGATGGTGGCAAGAAATAATTTCACATTTGTGTTTAATATTAAAGTTCTACCCTTTCGAACAAAGAAAAAATACTTTAAATGAAAGATTTACAGAGCAAAGAATCAAAGATAGACATTAAAAACAAAGCAAAATGTTTTTTAACATCTCTATATAGTTATAGATTTATGTTGGATAATGGTACTGTCAAATTTGGCTGGACAATGAACAATTACTATTACTGTATTGCATATTTTACACAACATCTAAAGTTTTTAGATACAGTATTCACAATATAATTAATAAAATAGGCTTGCTAACCTAAGAACAACAACATAAATTAATTAGGTAGAGAGATATTGTATCAGTCTCTAAATACTGATGCTGTTTTGTAGTACTCTTAGTACTGGGAAAAGCAGAAATGTGAAACAGTATGAATTTCAGTGCAATTATTAGTTGTCAATAGTTTCCATACAATCTCATTTTTTCCAACCTGGCAAACCACGGGCAAGTGTGATTTCGCAGTCAAGTATTCTTATTTTCTTCATGACACAAATCTTTTCATTCATGTCTGTGTGCAGGTGCAACAGCAGGGTGTCTGTAACGCACTGTATCACTCTGAGTGTTTTGAATAATTCCACGACTTAGTGAAGGCAAGTATGGTTTCCATAGAAACCCAATAAAAATGAACTGCCAATGTCTTCTCATATGATATTTCCAATGCAGTCAACATATTGTGAGTTGCATGTGCAGTAGAGTCCAGTAGCTACATACTGTACAGTATGTGGCAAGATCAAAACATGCACGAAGTTCAGGATAACTCTGCACTCTCTGCGACTGTGAAACAGCAGTTTGCTGCTGACCTGCTCCTTTCACAGGCAGGATGCCCTTCTCCAATAGTGAGTGACAGAAGGAGAATTCCACTTTTAATTACCAGAAAACCCCAGAGCAAGTGTTCCACCTGAACATCCTGATAAGTTAAGGATATAATTTAAAATAAAAACTTTGTCATGACAAACAGAATATGCACCTTGATGAGTACTGTACGTAGTCACAGTCTGTGATTTTTATCATTTACGATTCATGAGCTTTCCAATGGCCTGCAAAGGGTAACCAAAGGCTTTTAATTTTGCATCACGAAATGATTCCCCAGCATAGCATAACGGTGATGTGATGGCACCCCTAGACCTACCTCTGTTGCTGTGGTCACCTAACATTTACAGAAAAATACACTTGTTTTATCATGTGTACTAGAAAAAAAAATAAACCATTTATTTTTTTCCTTTTTAATTCAAATAGTAATACATAATAAATCCCTTCCAATCTACAAAACATGCACAGTTCTCATGTGCCACTTTTTAAAAAAAATATTCTGCTTCTGGAATAAAATTACCACAAGTACTGTACCTTATCACAAGTCTTTACATGCCAGCATTGTATGTCTTACTTCTCACAGTCACGTTGAATTATTACGATTCAACACTGGCTTTTCCACAATTAAATCAGATGGGAGGTATTGTATTAAGCCAGGAATTCAGTCAAGCCACACAGGGTAAAAACACCTAAAGCAACAGAACTATGAGTTGCAGCTTGTAAAATTATACACGATAAAATAGTTACAGTCGTGTTATTTGGGGATGCAGGTAACATGCCTAACCAAACAAAGGTCTTGTTTTTTGCCAAAGTACCATATACTTCCACTGTAATATTTATCTGCCAGCACTGTAAGATGAAATTACTTATTATTGCACACATAACTTCTGCAACTCTCCAGGGTTGCCCCCAGTTCCTCACAAGCTGTCAGCAAAGCCCGTGCTCTGGTTAGGAGGCTGATGGCTTGGCTGTGTTGGCACGGACACGGGCTTGGTCTACTGCATCCAGGAGGTTTTTGGAGTCCATGGCCAGCGTGTGAGCAGCTGCCAGCATTTGCCTCTTGCACTCTTCGCTGAGGGAGGTGATCGCATTCTGCTGCGCCAGCTTCATCTTGCTGATCAGTTCCGCCATGTCCTTGTTCAGCAACTTCTGAGTGCCTTCGATCTGCAGGGACAAACTCGGCAGCTGATTCATGCCCGCAACCGGCATGCCATACTGCAACTCCACGTGAAGAAGACGACAAGGATGATGGTGGAGCCCTTGCCAACAACCGACATTCAGGTTTATGATTTAGCAGGTGGTGGTTACCTACTGTAATGATGTAACCACATAAATTGGGAGCAGAAGAAGAGCAACTTGAATTTGAAACCATATTTCAGAGAACCCAAAGACAAAAAACTCCTATATCTTCCATTTCAGCACCAAACAGGTTTTAAATTATAGATGGAAGAGTGGGGTGCAGTTTTGGCAGGAATCATACTACTGCTACTACATGCTACTGATGGTAGTGCAGACAGGGAAATTGCCACAATTGTAACACAGTCATTTTAAATAATGGAACAAGTAATAGGTTTATTCCATGCTGAAAAAAAGAAGAAAGAGAACACAACGTTTCGGCTGTGGAGCCTTCTTCAGGTGTCCTGAAGACACCTGACACCTGAAGAAGGCTCCACGGCCGAAACGTTGTGTTCTCTTTCTCTTTTTTTCAGCATGGAATAAACCTTTTACTTGTTCCTTTGCAGCCTACGCATGCTGACGCAGCTACCCACCTGAACTACATTTTAAATAATTCTGGGTTGATTAACGCACACAGGAGCACTCATCTGTTTTGCATACAAATCATTAAGGGCAGGGCAGTCTACATAGACCCTGAAGAACTCTTACCTCTGTCCGTTTGGATGCGTGCAATGTGGGCAGAACTTCATCCACGCTGCGGATCAGATCGCGCAGAGTCAACCCCACTGACTGCAAGACGAGAGAGGGAGAAGTCACTGGTGCTGCAACGAATGATTCCACTGATAATGCACACTGTAGGAGCAAGACCTGAATTTCTGAGGTACCAGCCTAGGTAGGCTTGAGAGACAAACTAGAAAAGTCTTGTAAAGTGACAGCTGCAGCTGTATCATTAGGTTGTGAAATGCAAGCACATGGATAGAGGCCCAATAGAGGCTGTCACACTGACAAAGACATGGTGATCTAAGGTACGGTAGCATCTAGTAGCAAAAGACAAAATTAATGGAAAGTGACAACCTAGAATGGTTATACCTGCCCAATAGTAAAAGGTCAGTCTGTCTGTCAGTCTTTCAGACTGTTTTTTTATTGGCCAGGGAAGTTATTTCTTCCTTAAATCAGTCTTTCAGAAAGCACTCAAACCTCAGCCACCTTAATTTTAACAAAGATGCTGAATTCCTATTCTAAATTCCTATTTATGCTTATTGTGCTGTTCTGAAAAAAAAACATATAGTCTCTAAACACCTTGTATTACAGATCAAGGCAATTCCCATTACCTGTTTCCAAAATTAAGTGCAAAACCAGATTTCCTACAGTAAAGTGAGAGTTACATCTGCATCAATACTGTAAGGGGTCTTGAAAATGAAAACTTGAAATGCCTATCATATTCATTTAGACAACATGCCTGAGAAAATGCAATGATACCTTTCAGTACAGAAATCAAGCACAACCATTCTTGCCACTGGAGGAAATGGGCTCAATAAGATGAGAACGTTGCCAAGGCAGTTTCCAAAACTATTGGAAGTGACTGCAAATTATTTGCAAGAGACAGCAGCAATAATGGTCACATTCGACTTAGTTGTTACATGAAATGACTCAGAAAAAAACACTATCAGTAGTTATTAATTTTGTGCCCATTTCAGACAACAGGTACTTGAATGGGTGAAAGGAAGTCTCTGAAGCCTACAGTGAAAGCCTTCTCCATTTCTCTGCTGAATAATCCCTCCTATTCATTCTGCAACACTGCTGGGATAAGCTGTAATCACTGCCCTTTGCAGACCTAACCTGAATTTAACTCAAGAGTGACATTCTTCTCCAGCTTCCAGCATACAGTACATTAAGTACTGTATTAATATTTAGTACAGTACATTGGTGTTTTTCAAACTACATATACTGTATGTGCCACTGAAAGAAATCAGAGTAATTGCTAACCTAAGTCTTAAATGCAAAAAATAGAAAGGTATACAAGTTGACACAAGAATCCACAATCAGGAAATGTATAATGTCAATCCAATTATGACATCTTCAGCAATGAAACAAGGATCCAAAGGCACTAGTGAAAATAAAAGAACAGAAAAAAGCCATGGGTGTCTCTTTATTCACATAACTAAACTTAATTCACTTTGGAACATTCCAAGAAAATATTCAAACAAGAAAACTAGCCTTTGAAACACTAACACTGAACTTCAATTTCATTCCCTCCTCCCTCACCCCATAATCGTACTACTATATTGCCAGCAGAACTACCACCAACCAACCCAAAATTGTTTCAGAAAGGATTCACTTATTCCATAAGCCAACCTGAGCATTCTCCTGCTGCTCTCGTATGCCGTTATTATCTCCACAGAAAGCAACCTACCTTAACAACATTGACGTACTCAGAAGCCGGCAGCACATTGACATCATTCTTCAGCTGGACCACCACCTTCACCAGCTCCATGACGAAGTGGTAAACCTTGTCCTCAGAGCGGTCCATCTCCGCAGTTGGGGCAGGCTGCTCAACAAAGATCAAGAGATCACCGCATACAGTATATCACAGAGCTCTCCAACCCCTCCCACTTCTAAAGTAATTAATTGCTTAAGCTTATATAGTGCTTTTCTGGACACTCCACTCAAAGCGCTTTACAGGTAATGGGGACTCCCCTCCACCACCACCAATGTGCAGCCCCACCTGGATGATGCGACGGCGGCCATAGTGCGCCAGAACGCTCACCACACATCAGCTATCAGTGGGGAGGAGAACATAGTGATGAAGCCAGTTCAGAGATGGGGATTATTAGGAGGCCATGATACGTAAAGGCCAATGGGAAATTTGACCAGGACGCTGGAGTTACACCCCTACTCTTTTAAAAAAATGCCCTGGGATTTCTTAATGACACAGAGAGTCAGGACCTCGGTTTTACATCTCATCCTAAGGAAGGCGCCCCTTTACAGTATAATGTCCCCATCACAATACTGGGGCATTAGGACCCACACAGTCCACAGGGTGAGTGTCCCCACTGTCCCCAGTAACAACAGGTCCAGCAGCAACCTTCGTTTTTCCCAGGAGGTCTCCAATCCAGGAACTGACCAGGCTCACACCTGCTGAGCTTCAGTAGGTAGCCAGTTTTGAGTTGCAGGGTGATATGGCTGCTGGCAAAAGTACTTGATCTGACCACCCCAGTGTGTGTGTCCATTTTGTGTTTTTTACATAAAAACATTTCCTTGAATACACTGATCATTAGCTGTCTGGAGCCCATACAAACAGCATAACAAACATTGTTTTCATAAAATGAAAACAAGTTCTGAATACAAATCTTAGAACTCTATTGAAGCAAAGTTCTACAGTTTACATAATCAAGGGGATTCTTCTAAATCTTAATATTGAATTTAACAAAGGTATAAAAAAGCATTTGGTATTTTTTGCCCTTAAGTCCCAAGTTCTGTGTACTTCAAATCAAAGATTCATTATTTTGTGTAATTATTTTGATTAAGATGAAATAAATACAGTTTGTATAGAATATGATTAATGTAATGCCCTCTAAAGTGCTGGCAAAATGAAAACTTCTTGCTGTCAAGACATTACTATTAAATGAATATGATATATTTAACAATTTTGAAAATCAAATATTTAATTTTTTATTCTCTAAGAATGCAAGAGGTGTGCATTTGGGATTATTTGAAGATGTATCCATTAAGGAATGATTTAATTTAAAAAATATAGATTTTACATTTCAAAGACATTTGTTCATTCAGGTTGATGTATTGCCAAGTTACAGACTGGCAAAACTTTGCCGAAACTGACTCATTGTTGATATTGCCAGCTGGTAAGCAAGACTTTTTAAGGAAATTACTTTTTGGACAATTGTCTTAAATGGCAGAAATGCATACCTAGCAATCTCCACTAGAATTTCAATTTCCAGGAAGATTTTGCTTTAATTAAGTAATATGTGTAAATGTACTGTAATCACTGATGCAGACTTGGCTGATTACCTGAGCCGTCAGTCTTGGAGGTTTTTCTGGGGGACCTGTGAATTGAGCTTGAAGAAAAGCAAGCAGCAGAAGTACAGAAGAAAAAGGAAGGCAGTTCAAGAAAATGGTGAAGTGAAACCGTACACACCACAATGATTGTATACGCACAAGAAACTTGGTTCACAAGTGGATCTGAGCTTAAAAAAAGATACAGGACAGAGTGATGTCATGATGAGATTTTCAAATGTAAAAACAATTATAAGCAGAGCCCCTTATTTCACCATGGGAAAATCAGTGAGGCAAAAAGATTGTCAATCTTAAAAAACACAGTACCCATAGAAAGTCTCCACCCCCCTTGGACTTTGTCACGGTCTCGTGTTATAGCACTGAACCAAGATGCGTTTAACTGAGAATTTTTGCCACTCATCAACACCAAGTACTCTATAATGTCAAAGTGAAAAAAAAAATCCAGACATTTTACTAAATTAATTAAAAATAAAAAACAGAAAATAATTGTATACAGAAGTATTCATATCCTCTCCCCCCAGAGTTAATACTTGTTAAGACGACCTTTGGCAGCAATTACAGCTGTGAGTCTCTTTGGGTAAGTCTCTATCAGCGTTGCACATCTTGACACTGGAATTTTTGCCCATTCCTGTTAGCAAAATTGCTCAAGCTCCATCAAGATGGATGGGGACTGTTTGTGATCAGCAATTTTTAAATCACTCTACAGATGTTCAATTGGATTGGGTTCTGGGCTTCAACTGGGCCGCTCCAGGACATTAACCTTTTTGGTTTTAAGCCACTCCAGTGTGGCTTTTTTTGTACAGTATGTTTCGGGTCATTGTCCTGTTGGAAGATGAATCGTCTTCCAAGTCACAGTGCTCTTACGGATTGCGGCCCGTTTTCCTCCAGGATTTTTCTGTAATTAGCTCCATCCAATTTTCCTTCTATCATTATGGGCTTTCCATAATGCGGCTTTCCCTGCTGCAGAGAAGCATCCCCAAAGCATGATGCTTCCACCACCATGCTTCACTGTAGGGATGGTGTTCTCAGTGTGATTTGCTGTGTTAGGTTTGTGCCAAACATAAAGTTCAAATTTGTTCTCATCAGACCATAGAATCTTCCTCCTTATTGTTGAGTCTCTCACATGCCTTTGGGCAAACTCCAGCCAAGATGTGATATGAGTTTTTTTTCAACAAAGGCTTTCTTCTTGCTACCCTTCCGTACAAGCCAGAAACCAAAAAGAAAACACGGGGAAAAAAGACTAGGATAGGGGCTGGAAGAAGAACAGGGGGTGTGTCCAAGGTGCGCTGGTGTTCGGGGGGGAGTTTTCCAAGGCAAATTAGTCCAAGGGAGTCCACGAGAATATCCAGAGCAAGCCAAAGTCCAAAGCCAGGTGATCCATCCTGACAGACAAGACAAGAGTTAAAGGCCAGAGCGGGATCCGGCGAAAGGTCGGGGGAATAAAAGAGAGTAACGGGGCCAGGCGTTCCCAGTCCCGGACCCAGATGGTCAGGACGCCCTTGTGAAGCCTATGCCGTCAAGCTGCTCCTGGACTCGCGGGTAGGCGGGCTTCCGGGCGTCCATGTTCCAAAGCTGAGCCCAGATTGGCAGGAACATCTGGCTTTTATAGGACCGGGGCAGGAACCAGAGGAAGGTGCAGGAGATAGAGAATAAACGAGGAAAGGCTGGAGGGTCCTTAAGGGGAGGGGTTTACAATCGAGACAGGAGGACTGTAACTCAGTTTTGGAGGATGGCCAGTTCTGGTCAGATTCACAGTTGTTCCATATTTTCTCACCTTTTTAATGATGGACTTTACTGTGCTTCGAGGTATATTCAATGCCTTGGAAATTTTCTTGTACCCTTGCCGCGACTGGTATTTTTCAAGAACCCTGTCTCTGACCTGTGGGAATGTCCCTTGGTCTTTGTGGTGTAGTGTTTCTTTGGAAATGCACTAAGTGGGGAAGAAATCATGTGAAACACCTCAACTGCACACAGGTGGACTCCAGTCGAGTAATTATGTGACTTGGAGAAGAGAGTTGGTTACGTCAGAGGTAATTTAAGTGTGTCAAAGCAAGAGGGTGAATACTTATTATTCAATAATTTTCAGGTGTTTATTTTTAATTAATTTAGTAAAAGGTCTGGATTTTTGTTTTTACTTTGACATTATAGAGTAATTTGTGTTGATGAGTGGCAAAAATTCTCAGTTAAATATAATAACAGTTACACAATAAAATGTGAAAAAGTCCAAGGGTGGTGTAGACATTCCATAGGCAATGTATGTATTTTACAGCTAATAGAATGTCTGTATTTTTATGGAAAATCTAATAAAACCACTGTATGCTGTATATAGCGCTAACATTCTTCCTTAAATACCATACAGAGATTATTTCAGATATATATAATATACACTAGGTATATTCTCTGTACTTACACTTACTCTTACTTACTCTGCAGTCTTTTCAATGATACAAAAAACATCACTGCATGTTTAAGCCTTGGGCCCCTGAGGGCCAAACCATAAGAATAGATTTCAGAACCTCCAGAATCTGGGAACAGTGAGCCAATGACTTTTGATTGCTACTCTAGGATGAGACAACAGTACAGCAGAGACACTAAATGACTAAGCGCCAGTCATGGTCCAAAGCAATGCTCATACCAGCAAGTAGTGACTGTGAATATTATACACAAATGTTTCTTCTTCCATGCTCAGTTTGATTAATCTGTGATCTTTTTAAAGACCTATGGTCAAACTTTCAAAGCAGGCCGTCTTAGCTGGTACTCTAAAACAATCCAAGAAACCTCTCCCTAAATTCTCTCTAGTCTTAGAGAAGGAACCCCATCATTTCCTACTTTTTTACATTCTAATTCCTCTATCCCTCTTTAGCAATGGCTAAGGAGATGTAAAAGGCCAAATGTTGCATATGAAGATTCTCCTGGTTCATGTTTGAATGAATCCCCATGACCTAATGGAGTTTAAATAAGACAAATTAACAAAACAGCTTTAATCTTCTCTAATTGCTTTACGGTTTGGATGCAGATGTTACTGCAACAATTTTAATAGTTTCTGTTCAACAAGAATGAATCTTGTAAGATGCAATCTGAATAACATTACTGTCCCAGGGTGTTCTAAAAGGGTTTTTATTTTATTTTACACTGTTTATAGTGTCAGAGTAAAAATAAAAACCTTTTGTAAATGAAATTCTGCCAAGCAGTACTCACCATATCCAGATTCCTTTTCAGGCACCTTTAATGTAAAGGAAATAGCTTAAATCACCAAATTTAGTTTTGCTTCAATTAAACTGAAAAGATTACCAAGTTTCAGATTTAATTTGGATTTGAAATGTCCTGAACACACAAGAAATTGAAATCTTCTGAAACCAGCTCCATTATATACAAGTATTATAAGCAATATTTATATATGCATTACTTTTTTGAACAACATATAGCAAATGGTATAAGCTAAAGACACTAATATTTAAAATAATAATTTACTGTAAGTACTGTATGGTCTATGCACTATATACAGTACTTTACATACAGTATAGTATATCTATGAACTAAAGTATGTGGAAAGACTACCAAAACCGTAGACTGTTTCAAACAGTCTAAAAAAATTAGGTTTTCGAAGTACAGTATATTGGATTCATTATTTCTGTTATAGTAGACAGAGAACAAACCTCTGATGTTTTACTGCCTTCTTGTATCATAGGATCCTGCAGAAAACAAAACAGAAAAAACAGAAGAATGAAACAATATTACAGGTTACTAACGAAAAATCAATATCACAAAATAAGAAAACAATTTTAGCATTCTATGATTTCCAAACTGTACTTTGATAAAAGATATTGTATGACAGCAACCTACTACCAATACAACCTACATTTTTAAGAATATTCAGTAATTGCAGAATGAATGACAAACTATTCCAAAATGTCCTGAGAGGTGATCAGACAAGCTCTGTGTCTTACTAGCAGTTTCTCTTCCTTCTCCAGCCATTTGTTGTCTTCTATCATCTCCTGCTTCTGTCTCTTCAGGGTCTCCTGCATGCGAGCCTTTTCAATTTCCCACAGCCGCTGAGCATCCTCCTTGCTGACAGGTTCCACGATGAAGTCACCCTCCTTTCCAACAGACATGGGGATAACTTAAAGATCACTTTATTGGCCGTATACAATTTCTTGCAATAGGAATTTGTCTTTTCGCATACCCTAGCTTGCTCTCCATGAGACACACAGACAGGGAGAGAAGCTTGGGGTCAGAGTGCAGGGTCAGCCATTTATACAGCACCCCTGGAGCAGTTGGGGTTAAGGGCCTTGCTCAGGAGCCCAACGGAGTAGGATTCCTCTGCCGGCCGCGGGATTTGAACCGACAACCTTCCAGCCACAGGCGCAAATGGTAATCAGTGGTAATCAAGCCTGACATTTACATTCCACTGCAAATATTTTCTCCAGATAATCCTTAATTACAGAAAATTATCTTCAGCACCTGGGTTGTTGAAGCTTTTCGGAAACTATTTCATTTTGAACCAATGTTCAGAGGCATTTAAATGCATGGAATGGAAAAGCCAATGTTGACTACTACTCGGCTAGATTCTTTATTAATGTTTCCTCTCCTTTGTGGCTGGTTCTTTCTATGCTAGTGAAAAATGACAAATAGAACTGATAACTAAAACACAACCTATAAGATGGAAATTAATGTGGAACACATCTCTTAATGACTTTAGGGGCAACAGTGAAAAACTCTGCAGTGTCCCAAAATATTTTAAATATTGTAAACATTTTAAAAGAAAAGCCAGATCTTGAATTGTCTGCATAGTCATACACACTGATTGGATGTTTAAACATCATGTAGATATTTCTTTTTTTTTCAAAGCAAACTTTAAGAAAGTTATCTCATAATTACGAGATAAGTAATAATTGTGTACTTTATGTGATCATGAGATAGCACAATTGTCAAGTAGGTAGCTACGTCAGCATGCACAGCCAAAACATTGTGTTCCTTTTCTTCTCTTTTCAGCATGGAACGAACCTTTAACTTATTCCTTTAATATATATATTGTTATATATCGCGATATATATCGCTATGTGTGGAATTACAGTTTTAAGCAGCGCAAGTGATTGCATGTAAAACTGTAAAACTGTTCCTAACGGAACCATCATTGCTTTGATCTCTAAATCCCACAAAACTGGTCCTCATGCTTGTAACGATTCTGTTCATATTTGCTCCAAATTGCAAGATTTCATTATGACTAAACCCCAGTTGAAAGTAAATCTGTACAAATTCTGCAGAGCTGGGCATTGACACAATCATTAAACTGAAAGTGCCAGCAAAGTTCACAGTAGTTACTATATGTGTTCAGTGCACGCCATAACAGATTGTACAGTACATACACTTACGTAAGCATTGCTATCTCGTAATTACGAGATAAGGGGGCGAATATTTTTTTTCCCTTGGTGGCAGCAATGCGCTTCCGTAATTTTGACTATTAGTTCATGTTAAATTGAATTTATGTTTATGGAAATGTATTGCTATGTCCTTAAGACTACAGACAAAAGAAAGAGTGATTTATCCCAAAGGCTCCAGTATTTCACTTGAGCTCATTTTTACCAAGTTACACCATTCACACATAACAGTCATTGTCGTGTAACTATACTAAACCCTCTCTAACAATGTGCCAAGGCAATAAGTACTGTAGACTTGTTTGAGGGAGACAATTTGTTAGGCTTTGCTGCACCTAAAGACTTAGTATGTTATAAGAGTTATAATGAAGGATATGAACAGTATTGGTCCTTTTTAATTTTTAGGTTTTTTAATTTCCTGCATATAAATGTAAAATGCCACAGTAAAACTGTCCAAAACATGAGAGTGATGAGCAATAATTTCTTTAGATTTTTAAACTAATAACCACATTGCATCACGACTTGTAAAAGTTAAGATTTTCAGAGAATGTACGGTATGTACCCCACCCCTCTTTATTTTTCAAAGATGTCACTGTGAGTAAATCGATGCTGACATTTTAGGATAAACAAAACAATAAAGAGCTAATTAACTGACTTTTATCTCTTTAGATTGAAAAACTGCCCAAGCTTTTATCGGACCAAGAAATCAATTAGCAGGTGGCAGTGCTGGCTGGCAAAGTTTTTAAATTAGTTTTTTTTCATGTTCAGAGTTTAATTACAGTATGCCATGCATTGCAAAAATATAAATGAAAAGGGCCTAAAAACATGAATTAAATGAAAACCTTACTTTGCATTATTGTTGTTTTTCCATTATTTTCAATTATTATTTCCATTATTCCATAATAAATGTAATTACTGTATGTTGAAAACAAAATAAAGTATATAATTTTCATATTTGTTCCCCAATTGCAAAAACAGTTACTAAATATTACTAAAAATGGTATAGAAATGTCTGTGGATTATGTGTTAGCAAGAGTTCACGTTTATAATAAAGAGACAATTCAAATAAATGAATGCAGAGCTGTACAAATTAAGCTCTAACTTAAATAAATAAAATCTGTCTATTCATGTATATTTAAATTTTATTTGTCATGTCTCCCGACCTACTTTTTACTCAGAATTTGTACACATTTCAAATTATTTCAGGAAAAAATGAAAGTACGTGTTATAAAGTGGAGCATACTGTAGATAATGTTAATACTCATTCTGGACCCCAAGAACTGTATTATAATGGCTCTGCACTGTAATTTACAGGTAATGAGAAAATGATAAGTAAACAGACAACAGGAGAAATTCAACCTAATTTCAAGATAGATGGACAAATGGATGGATAGTAAAATCATCACACAGACAGGCATGCAAGCAGGCCGGCAGACCATCCTTCCTTGGTGGTAGATTCATCTTTTCGATGGGGTTCTCGCCACCTCTCTTCAAGAGGGGGAGACTGCCCCTTTGCCCTTGCTCGTGCGCCCATCCCCGCACGACAGGCAGCGCCAGTGAGCCACTCTTACCCCCATACTCCGGCGTCTGGGGACCTGGCGCGGCAGGAGCAGCCTGTTGTTGGAGTCAACGGGTGTCTGGTAGTCAGGCGGGCTAGCAATGGCAGGCGAGCTGGCGCACAGAGACTCTGGCAGCTGGGAAGCAGGTGGCAAAAGTTGGGGCAGAAGGCAAATGGGACAGAACACACACACAGAGGCGGTCAGCATGAACGCGACGCGAAAGCACGGGAATGCCGACACACTGAAAGCCATAGAAGAAACACAGGATTTCGTTTATCTTCATGGGCTTTTTGCTCAACCAAGAAAGGGCTATACTGGAAAAAACGATATACAAGAGGAATGTGGACTTCCCACAGCACTGTTGTTTCATCTAGCACTGACTTGCAACAGCGCATCCTCTTCCTTACAATATACGAGTAGATAAATAGACTGGGAATCTAAAAAATCATTAAATATTGTTTCTTGCTTATTGTCAGTTTCATGAACTATACAATATATTAAAACCACATCAGTTTTTGCACTGGATTACATTCTATGCTCTACAATATGCAAATAATTTGCATATGTTAACATTTCTTGTTTATCGTTCAGAGATTCTCCCTTACAATAAGAGTTTGCCTAAGCCTTCAATACCCATTACTGTTACTTACTAAAATATAATCAGAAAATCACCATACTTCATAAGAATAACTCCAATTAATATTGCCAAAGGCCGTACAAATTTCACGTGTACATTTTAATTTAAATTTTTATCAGCAACTTCAAGACCCCACTGAAATTGATCTGAACACTAACTTAAAAATAACATACTATACTTGTTTTAGTTTTTGGCTGCTAGTTTAAACCCTTAAATACAGATGCCATAAGCATGGATATCCAGCACACTGATTTTATAAATCAATGCCTGTGATGTTGTAGACTTTCCTAAAAAACTTTTGATGAAGTTATTCTATAGATTTCACAAAAGTAGTGTTATAAAAATAACAATACACTGTGTAGAACTGTGTAGGATTTGTGCTAAGCCAATCTTAGTTTAAATTTTTTAGTTGTATATTATTATATTTCCACTGCCTAGAAACACAGATACGTTTTAAAAAATAAATGTTTTTTCTACTCAAGTTATGCTGAGGACGTTCGCACAGGATGTGCTGAAGAGATCCATAGCGCTCTACCACACCCTATTCACAGTAAGGGGATTTTGGGAGGTTTTGTTTCCCTGTTCACTATTTTACAAAGCAAAATACCAAACACAGCAATATCTCTCAAGTCCAGAACTTTTTCAAGCTCCTTTCTTTCTTTCCTACTTCTATTAATAAGAAGTATTAGGCCACTCACATTAAATTTGGGGTTGTCATATTAGGCTAAAAACTAGTCAATTGCCATTAACATTTACAGAACCTTAACATCTGAAATGACTACAACTGTTCTCCTTCATCAGGTGATGTATAAGTAAACAGTAGGTGGTGCATTAGTAACTTTTATTGTTCATATCAGTTTCATTGCTTAGGCCTGGTTGAGATCCAGAGACTATCAAACAAACATCAGAGTAGCTGGGCATTCAGGTTTGCACAATGGTCATTGCTGAAACCTAAGAGAAACCTAAGAGAAGAGTTGTTTTTTCCTGGCAATGCAAACAATAAAAGGACACGACAGAGGACAGAAAACGTACAGTACCTGAATTTGTAAACCAACATTGAGGGTACTTCCAAAACGTGAGGATTTCATTCTTGACGGCTGCAAAAAAAGAGAAAGTTACAAGCTGTTTATACTGTAATGCATTTCTCTTAGTTAAGTGTCAATGACTCCCAGGTGAGACTCAAAACCAAAAAACCCACACACTGTTCTAGGAAAAGACATGCTGTGATTCTTCTAGAAACATGCCAAACGAGTGGACCCACAATCCAAATCCACATCCAAAGTATCATTAGCCCACACGTATGCCAACAGAGTTAACCAACTTTTAATAATACATTTAATTTACATACAGTAGCACATTTCATTAAAATGAATATCACATAAAATATACGGCTAAAAAAGAAGGTCAAGGAATTTAACAATAAGAAGGAAAAAGACAGGTACTAGAAGTTGATAGGCTTGTTGATAGGCCTTGTAGAGAAAGGTTTTAAGATCTCTTTTAAAAAGCTCAGTTGAAACTGCTTGTCTGAGATGATCAGGGAGGCTGTTCCACAAGTGAGGAGCAGAGATAGAGAAGCACAGCCACCCAGAGTATGGCATTTGGTTAGGGGACCTATAGCACATTAAATTGACCTGATCATAAAGACTGGAGTGAAATTTGAAAAATAAGAAGGTCTGTGAGTTAGGCGGGATCTTTGCCTTACAGAAACCAGGAGCAACCACAACACACTAGGACGGGTTCAATGAGATGATACTACCTTTGGTGGAGGCTCACTGACAGTGATAATAGGATCAAAGAATTTTGTGGCACGGGATCGATTCTTTGACTGCTGTAGCGTTTCCTGTTCCTTCTCCATCTTGAACATGTCACTAGAGGGATGCAGACACAGCACACACAAAAAAATATCTGTAGTGCACTTTACGTGACCAAATGGCATATGTTTTCTGGATACCTTGTTTTTGGAATTGTAGTGAAACAAAAGAAAAATAAAAAAAAGACATTATAAATGGAAAAACCCCATTACAAATAATATATACAGTATATAATCTACTTTACTGTATATAGAATATAGACCTACGACTGTACATATATACAGTAGTTATTAAAAATGTGCATACGGCAAAAGACAGCATCAAGACCTGTCCATATTCTTCTAGATTTTTTATCACAAAACAAAGTGGGTATTCTTCCATATTTGGGTGTCTATCCAGTTATGTAAAAACCAACATGCACCGGTCTGCTATTTTACATAATAAAAGATCTGACGAAGAGCTAACAGGTCAAAATGTCATGTCTTGACTTCTTTCATGGAAACAATCAACATGTTTCCACTGTTGGAGAGAACGCAGTCAAACAGCTTGGCGGGAGGGTACCTGAGCTTGCAGACCAGCTCTGTAAACTTCGGCCTTTCCTGGGGGTCGTATGTCCAGCAGCGCGTCATCAGGGTGTATAGGGTGGGAGGGCAGATATCCGGTTTGGGCAGTCGAACCCCTTGCTCCAGCTGGTTGATCACATCTTTGTTCTCCAGCCAGAAGAAGGGCTGCTGGCCCATGCTCATTATCTCCCACATGCAAACCGCTGTAGCACACAAAAAACACACAACAGTCATCCCCGGGACACCTCCTCGACCAACGCACACACGTCAGAACTCAAAACCCTACTGGAAAACTGGAAATAATACGGAAACAATGGACTGTCTTGAAAACTGTAGAACAGCCTATTTGAAGTGTTTTTTAACAATATTTTCTTACACTTATACAGTGCTTTTCTGGACACTCCATTCAAAGGGCTTTACAGGTAGTGTGGACTCCCCTCCACCACCCCCAATGTGCAGAATCCACCACTGCTCAATGAAAGAGTGGGAATGTGCTCTAGGAATGCTAAACTGTAATGGTACAATTGTTGCATTGTAAATTTGCTACACACAGTAGGGCAATTAAGTTTCATCCACCCAAGATCTCTAAATGGGGACGACCTTAGTGACTGCTTCTGCACAGCAACAACATCAACTGTTTACCGTAAACAGGGTTGCTGCTACAATAAGACTCAGCACGTGACAATTTGTACGTACATAAAACCTCCCATAGGAGCCATAATAAAAATGTCCAGTTAAGGAAACTTTATACTAGATATGTAAAGGACTAGTAGTGTGGTGCATTCTTTCTGAGGATGAATAACACGGAGATAGAGTACTGCGGTCAGGATCAGGGCTCCATTTTATATAATCTCTCCCAATTCCCTCTTTCTCAAGTTTTGCTGATTATTACTGATTGTATAAATGTTAAATGTATACAGTATGCCATTTTGTTAAATGTATATGGTATTACGTTATTCTAATTATAGGGCTTCAAATGTTTTTCTCCATTAAACACAATGCTATTTATAACTACCAGAAGGTCCTAAAGCAAAGGGAACCGAGGGAGAATCCAAAAAAGTCATGGTCGCAGAACAGGGCTGAAGTCTATAGGCCATAAAGGGGGATGCAGACTGATTCGTGGCAAACAGGAAGTGGAGCTCTCTGATGAAAACCTAATACTGAGCAGAGATGAACCAGAGAGCTGGGGAAGGGGGGTGTGGTGATGAAGAAGTGCTGGGATTGGTTAAGGAGGTCTAGGTAGTATAAGTCTTCCTTGAGTAGTTCAGGTGGGTAGCTGCGTCAAGCATGTGTAGGTTGCAAAGGAACAAGTAACAGGTTTATTCCATGCTGAAAAGAGAAGAAAGAAAACACAACATTTCGGCCATGGAGCCTTCTTCAGGGGACGACAAAGTTTTGCCGAAACGTTGTGTTTTCCTTATTCTCTTTTCAGCATGGAATAAACATATTACTTGTTCCTTTAAGTCTTCCCTGAGTAGCTTAGGTAGATGCCTGTGTGGTAGGAGCCCCCAGGTGGTGGGATGGTGGTACCATAACATGTTCCACAGAATTTGGGCCTTTATCCCTCAACCAAGAACATTTTGACAGGTAGAAAGTTTTAATTTTACCAACATTTTGAGACTTGTTGTGCCCCAACTATTGTTTGTAGTAATAGTAACTATAGTAACTATATAGATAGGTGTACCCAGTACATAACATGTCATACACAGGGGCTATTAATGGACACTAATTAATCTAGCCAGCATGAGAGGAAATCAGAGCACCTGCAGAAAAACCTATGCAGATGTGAAACTCCACACAGATGTCTGTCAGGTTGTGCTCCAGCTCATCACAACCCTGTAGTAATACTAAGTGGTTCTTGAAGATGAATAGATACACTGTATACCCTTATACAGAACATTATATAAATATTTTAAAATAAACATTTAAAAATGTAATAAAGTCATCCTAAAGTTACTTAACTTAAAACATAGCAGCAAAAGCCTGAGTGCTATTTCAGAGGAGAAAACAAAAGACAGGGGCAGACTTCTTCAATAGGCACCCTGCTGCCAGAGGACATATAAACATGTCATTGGAGGAAATTGGATTTATAAGTAATAAAAATAAATTAGGTACTCTAGAAACTATTCCCACTGCCATTTTGTACATTTTATTATTTCATAAATTTTGCGTTGAACATTTTAATAATCCATTGCAATTTTATTAACTTTAAATATTTGTGTCCATCGATTTATTGTTCAATATGTGAGCCCTAAACACAATCTCAAGGTGAAAGGGGTAAATAGTGATCTTGTGACAATGTTCTGCAAGGCAAAATCTGGCACAAAGCATATTTTGTAGCTTTCTTATAAACAGAAAGAAATGTTATTTATACTTGTACACCATATGGGGACAAATAAGGGTTTTATGGACTCAAGCAGGTTGTGGGTTCAAGACCCCACTGGAGACACTACTTCTGTACCCCTGAGTGAGATATTTTAGTCCTGGTTTCTCCACTCCACCCAGCTGCATAAGAGGGGACTAGCATTCTTGGGGGGGGGGTAATCCTTGTAATCAGACTGGTGTCCCACCTGGAGGGGAGGAGAGAGGAATCATAGCCCTAGAAACTAGGGCCCTGGTGAGCTGCAGGGGGATGTATGAACAACCAGGTAGTGGACCCCTAGCAAGTCCAATACAAGCTGGAAGAGCAATCCAAGCACTGCACCAGGCAATATGAAACAGCAAATCTAAGACAGTTTACAGACAGGCACTCCACATCTGCAGTGAGCATGCCAGCCTCAGAATCAAGGATGCTCTGAGGAATGCAACTGAGAGAAAATAGCTGCCATCTACACTTGAGGAGAGGCAGAAAAGTGATCAGGATTAAGCAATCCTGACTCCTGAGGAAAGCTGCTTGCACCGCAGAGGAGCAAGGGTACAGAGTGCCTGGGATCTGGAAGAGGGGGAAAGCAGAGTGAGAGGAGGAACACAGAGAGAGGGGATATAGGGGAAGATATGTGTCTGAGCATGTAGGAAGAGTGGTCAAGGAGCAGCAGGCAAGGACTAGGACAGGGGTTGGCAATTATGGCACGCATACCATTACTGGCATATAAAGGATGAATGAAGTGAAACTGGTACAGGAAGCCATGAAGAAACTAAGTTTAAAAAGTATAAAAACTATGCTTGGCTGTTCTGTAATTCTCTACAACATGCTTCCCATGCCCTTTAGTGTAGCAAGAAGTTGGTTTACTTTACTTTATTTACTGCATTATGTTCAGCAGGGCTAGCCTATTGTTTTCGCAATATAGCTTACAAGCTGTGCCATTTTGCACAATGGATTGTAGAATAAATGTGTTCAACATAAAGACTGTGCTGTTTGTCCTCTGTGCGGGACCTTGAACTGCATGATGAAAAATGGGTTGTAAAACGAATGCTTTTAGCCGCCATCACCGTGCAGATGATTGAACTCAACCTCCATTTGCAGGGTGCAGATCAAACTGTTATGGGGCTTCTCGAAACATGGAAGGCATTTCAGCATCTTTAAGAACTGTCAAATAATTGCACAATCCCTTTTGCAGAGTTTGGGGTGGACATGCAAGAACTGGCATAGGAATGTTCTATCAGATTTCAGGATTTCCAACGTTTTGGCCCAATGTTCTCTTTTCAGATTAAAACCAGCAATATGGATTTTTCAGAAAAGATCACACTAATGGTAAGACATGCATATTAATTACATTTTAGGTATTATTATATTTTAATATTTCATTTTTATTAATGAAAATGTAAGATAGGGCTTATTATTAGTGTTACAAAATGGCATGCAAAACCAAGTGTTTGAGTTAACTCTTGACACAGCCCTTCTGGAAGGTTGCTGACCCCTGAACTAGGACTTTGAATCAGGCCTGTGCAGTGCCAGTGGAGCGACATCTAAAGTTACACTTGATAGACGTGTTTGCACATCTGCTGGTTTCATTACTCCATTACTCCTATTGAGAAGTGTAAGCCATGTTAACACGTTATTGTGATATTCTGTCCAGAACTAAAACTAGCTGTTCAGGCATCAAAAGTTACAGATTCTTCTCAGCAAGACAACCAGCCCCTGAGTCATTAAAATGCAAATGGATTCCTCGAGCTTCTCTAAGTGTAAAGGCTGCATTTATTACAAGAAGCAGCAGTCATACAAGCTATTCCAAGAAAGGCTAGAAGAAGAACCACAGTAAGGCTTACAGAGAGAAAATCTATCAAAACAGGCTGACAGGTATGTGTTCAGCAGAAGATGAAATAATAAGACATTTCTCTCTCCGTAGGCAAGACAACTCAGATTTACAGTACACAAAGTGCAAAGCACTTTCTATGAATTTAGCGATGGGATTATTTTTTCAAAATGGTACCCATGCTATCTGCAGTCAATTCAATTAACAATGTATTACTTGTACGCAGTGTCTATGAAATTATAATTTCACTCAGATAAAGCTTCAGACTGTATAATTTACAGGCAAACTCCGAAGTGACATGTCATGTCGTCGCTCGCCACAGGAAGCTGTCCAATAGCCGTTTTATTTCAACTGTTTTTATTATTATCACTCACGCGTGCTGAAAATAAGAACTTGTATATAAATAGACTTTAAATCTTTTAAAACACTTCAAATATCCACAGAAGTTTTCTAGAAGCCCCCCCAAAAAGAAAACATATAAAAGAAAACGGCCACGGAAAACTTAACTGAAAGAAGTCATGATAAGGACAAGAAAGGCTGCAGAAGTTTGATGAAGGAAAACATGAGTGCAAATATTTTCTTGTGTATCAACATCAAAGAGCCAGTGATACCAAACAGTGATGCATGACACAGCACAGGCTTAACTTGAATAATGGAAAACAAGGCCACCACTTAAAGCTAACGCCAGCATTTCAATAACCTGTACTGAAATGCGTAGGAATATAAGAAAAGCTAATGACAAGAACAAGCAATTCAGCCCACTTGTGCTCATCATTTTTCTGAATGCTCAGTAATCCTATTACAGCATCAAACCCGGATTTCAAAGTTTCCTGTGTCTCTGTCTAAACAACACGCCCTAGTAATTCTTTCTAAACACTGATAACAATGTAGAAAAGTTATTTCTATTATTCCTGTGAAATTGTCTTCTAAGACTTGTCCAGTTATGTCCTAAAGTTCTGTGCACCACTATTTTAAATGAGTAAACATTTTATATCAAGGTTCTTGGCTGCTCTTAGAGGAAGACCTCAGGTACTGTAAATCTCATCTAAATTTTTTTTTACTGGGATAGCCTCATAAATACAGTTTATGACTGTTTAGAATTACAAAAAATATCCTATTACTTTAGCTTTATTTAAAAACACATAAAAAGGAATTTATGTAAGACACTTTAATTAACATCAATGAATCTCAAATTGCATACAGTACATTCAAATATTATCACAGGAATCTGTATTAGGACCACTTTTCTTCTTAACGTATATTCATGATCTATATTCTAGTATAGTCAGAAAATTAGTCAAGTTCACAGATAGTGTCAAACTAGGACAACTAGAATACACGGTAGAAGTTGCAAAAGAAATCCAAAACAACAGAGACAAAATACAGGACTGTGCTAACACTTAGTTGATGCTATTTGATTCAGAACAGGACAGGCAGTTATACAGGTAGCACAGATCAGCTATAAATGTAAAATTGGAAACACTGATTTTGAGGAGGCCACTTGGAACAGAGATCTACTGAAGGTGGTGTTTATGTACAGCAGACACATCAAATCCATATTCTATGCACCACGGGGAAGCAATAAAAATGATACAATAACAGTAACAGTACAATAACAGGATGTATACTTAAAAGCATTAAAATGTTTTGTAGAACTGTACGTTGCATTAGCAAGACCTCAACCTGATCTTAACTACTGTTTTTTTTTTTCACTTTACTCACAAGAATACAAAAAGGCTTTCTTTGCTACTATAGAGTCGGTTTAAAGAAGAGACACCATATAAACTCCAGGACTTAAGACAATGTCCTACACTGACAACCTGAAAGAACTTAACCTTTTTACTGTTGAACCCAAGAAGATGAAGGGACCTGATCCAAGGATTCATAGTCTTCAAACACATTAACAAACTCAAACAGTGGTCTTTTACAGAAACATCAGTGAGACACAATGTGAAAGTGCATTTATATTACCTGTATTATCCTGGTATTACCCTAGCTACTGAAATCCCAACTGAGTTAGATTAAGCTAAATAACCTTTTTTGTTTTGCAACAGTTTTTATCTCCTTAAGGAAGAAAGAGAAAATCTGTCGTACTCTAAACAAAATTATACATTGAGAATGGAACCTTCATGCAAGGTGGCAGCTCAGGCCTGAACTACATTCCACAAAAATCTGTTTCATTTTAAAAGTTTGTTTTGAAGCATCATAGCTGCCTGATAATTATAGAGAGGGTTAGAAAAACTATTTAGCACTCTAAGAATAGTTTGGTTATGTGTTTTTTGTGTTTCTGTGCACAAGAAATACAAGAGCACTAATTTCTCTTCCTTACAGCTCTATTTGTGTCTGTTTTCTGGGGCTCACCTATTAAAGACTGCTTGCTATGACACCCCTAGCCGCAGGTGCATAACAATATAAATAAAGTATCATTGCAGTGTACAAGCCTTAATTGGTGCTCTGTACCAGTATCTGAACATAGAAATCTGCATCATGCCTATTTATTGACATAGTATATATTTGTCTAGATGGAGTGTGGACTGAAGTCTATCTATATTAAAATCCCATTAGCATTGTGGCACTTAAATTATAATTAAAATTTGCTCAAGTTAAATTTGTTACAATTTAACTTGAGCTGCTGTTGGTGTGTTGCTAATTTTACTAGGCTTATCTGAGCCTTTTTTCATGTTCTACACACTTAGGGGAAAGCCACCTTAGAACAGCACTTACCAAACATCCAGACATCACTAGAACAGGTAAAACGTCTGAAGTTGATGGACTCTGGAGCCATCCACTTGATTGGGAGTCTGGTTACAGAGGCTGCACAGGAACCAAACAAGAGACTTACAAATCACGGAGTTCTCGCAATTAAGCAATGGCAGCAAATATTTTCTTACTTCGCCAGTAACTTCCGAAAAGCAGCTATGTCGCACTATGGTCTCACCATTAAGATTACATACAACTAATTAGCCCAGCATTCCACAAACTGTTCGGTGGAACACTGGTCTTCCCTGAAGAGAAAATAGGGGTTCTGTGAAACAAATCAATGATAGCATTATATTTTCTTCTAAAATATAAAATATGAAATTGCATGTAAAAAATACTAAGATGCTTGAATAGCATTTAGATCCCAGGTATATTAGTATTTATAACCCATTCATTATAACATAGTTACCAGGTGACTTGTGACAAAACAATCAGTCCTACAGTACGTGTCTGAGTGTAAGTGGCACTTCCCTTTACTACCACATACATTTTATATTACATTGCAGTGAAAACTAAATGTAGGAAAAGACCTGATGCTGCATCTAATATGAAGATCCAACTCTCTAGCATCATTCCTAATATTTAGCAGATTTGTGATAAAAAAACACATTTGTGTTTTTTTTAAACACAACTGTTCTATTTTTGTACAGTACCAAGGACACTAACCATCTGTATTTTGACTTATATTAATCTTCTGTATTTGTACTTATTTGTGCTTAACAGTACTTAATTTATATGCTTAATTATAGGTTTACTACCCATCCACCTACAGTATCAAATGACAGTTGTTCATTCACCTTATTTTCACCTTATTTTCTTAAATTCTTCCCTCCTTATTATTTAAATAAAATTTAAATAAAAAAATATTTTATTAAATAAAACAAATAGGAAAATAACGGCAATAATAAAAACAGCAGTAGTTATGGATATCTACTTTTAGCTGCTTATTTTTTCATTTAAGCCCTGAGTTACTTTATACAAGACATAAACTGGAAAGCGTTTACAATATTATCAAACCTTTACTGTTTACAAATGAGAAAAACGACCCATTTTGTTGCCTGTTCCTGTATTCAACTTATTTGACCTCAAACAGACTAACCTTTATAATACTCCTCGTCCTCAATGTATCGGGACAAGCCAAAATCTCCCAGCTTCACACACTCGGGAGCAGCTACGAGCACATTCCTCACAGCAATGTCCCTTCATAAAAGACAGAAAGGGAAACGATTATTTCTGTGCAGTTTATATGAGGTCTTTAAGCCATTTATTGGAGTCTGTGATTACAGATCTCCACTAAAAAAAGTCTTAAGCACTTAATCTAGATGGATTTCACAATGGGGCTTTTCAGAAAAGAAGGAAATGCATGTAAAATCCATTAGTAAAATGAAACATTAGCAATGATACAATGTATGCAATATCAGTCAGTTGGGGTTCAGTATAACTGTATACATACTGTACATTAAAAGCAAGAAGCAGAAAAGGAACCCACTGAACTGTTTGTTTAAAATCTGTAAAATGTAAAGAAAAGTATCTAAAAAGACCAATATGAAAATAATTTGTGAGGCATCAGTCTAATACAGTGAGGATTTTCAAATAAGACTCAGTGAATCCTGGGGGTGTCTCAGACATACTGTACAGTAGCCATGCCCAGGTCTAACAGAATTAACAGTGGATCAGGTAACCAGTTACACTTTCATTCAGGTTTGCAAATTGTGTTTTTAAAACATCTGAGTAAATCCATAAGGTACAAAATGTGGCACAAATGTGATATTAACTAACTTCTAAAGTAAATTAACTGGATGTTAGTGATAAAAATCTATCATAACTGTTTCTTTCATCATTATTAACATATGCAGACATACTGTACATGTTAACAGTATATATTTATGTATAAGTTAACTTTTTAACTACGAAAGAAATTGACAGGTGCTTATCTTGACAGATGCTTTACATCTTTTAGACAGTGAGTGGAAGCAATTAAAAAGGCAAAGCAAATGTTAGGATACGTAGTTAAAAGAAAATAATTTAAATCAAGGGAAGTTATGTTATGATTGTATAACACAATGTTATGGCCATTTAGAATACTGTGCAAAGTTTTGGTCACCACATTATAGAAAAGATACAGTATAGCTTTCTGGAAGAGAACAGCAACCAAATATATTCCAGGGCTTGAGGGAATGCCCTGGACTGGCAGGCTGAAGGAAGTCAACCATTGTCTCGAACAGGGAAGACTATGAGGGGACCTGACACAAGTACTCAAAAGACACTGCCAAATTTAAAACCAAGACCAGCAAGGCATTCCCTTACCCCAAAGTTTTGTGGGATGGATCAATCTACCCAATCAGTTGTTGAAGCTGATACCCTGACTTTGATCAAGAAACAGCTGGATGAGATACTTGGATCAGTTAACTTCTATCAGATGGCCCTATGGACCCCTCTCATGTGTAATATTTTTATGTCCCTGTGTTCTTCTATAAATAGATCCAAACAGATCCGACTTTGTGTCCAGATTGAATGCCTATTGCCATGAGCACAGAGACTTATGAATGCCTAATATTCTGAGGAGGGAATAGTGATGCAGAAACTAATTGTCTGGGTCTCCTTGTGGTAGACGTTCCCTAAATTTTAACAAAACTAGTTTAATGGAGATGTAATGAAATGTTACCTTCACGTGTGTAAGAAACGGAACGTGTATATTAATGTATATTCTGGAACATGCTCTTCCATTCACGTTAATGTACAGGAGAGCATTTGTCAAACCGAATGTCCAGCCTTCCTCACCTTTAAGAAAGGATTGAGGAAGTGAGGATTTCAAAAAAAAAAACAAGATCCAGTATCCTCTACAGCCGTTTCCTGAGAGTAAAACCTGTTTCTCCTTTCTGTGATCAAATTAGAAATGTTCTCTCCATCTTCTTCCTCACAGCTGGTCTGACTCCTACTCATCAAGATCCGCTTACAGTACAATTACTGTACATACGTAGCAGATTACCTGCATTTTAACATTGAAAATACTGCAGATTATTACACCCTGTCCTCTAATAAAGTGTGTCTACATACCATCTTTGAAGCTATAACCCTTTACAATTTGCAATTTATACAATATATATTTAAATAATGGTTAATGTACAGTATGTACTGTACAGTTTTTGTTAAAGAAATTTCAGGAATTGGACCATACTTAAATACATTAAAAATGTTTTATTAATCTTCTCCCTTTTCATTTTTGAATGTTTGTCTTTATTACTTTACTTATAGGTTAAAAACAGGATTCTGGACATACTGTACAGATGTTTGTTAGATACCCCAGTGAACACCACATTACAAGAATCACTTCTAGAAATGACACATAACCTTAAAAATTTCTAAGATTATTTAACTTACTTAAAAAGACAGTAATTATAAACATTATTCACACATTTTCATTGTATTTCCTATTGCAAGACGTTAAGTTCAAAGAAGAAAAAAAATTAGGTTATATGAAAGCATACAGTATGTGGTCTTTACACATCATCTACCTGTGCACCATGTTAACTCCCTCCAGGTAAGCCAGAGCTTTGCAGATTTGTAAAGAGTAGAGGATCAATGTGGCGGTTGTCAGGTTGTGCTTGTTGTCTGTAAGGTAGTTTCCAAGCTGAGAGACAGAAAGAGAGAATCAAAGTAGGCATTTCATGTACTGCATTATCTTAATTATGGTATACATTGGTGAAGTAGTAGGTTTTATAAGCAACTAACATAACGCTCAGTTTCTCAATGCTTCAGGCAGCTGAGCTTCTCCATACACAGTGATCTATTCTTCCTCATACTTACTCCATGTCATAGTCAATGAGACATTTTGCCAAAATGTATTGGTTAATACCTCAAATATAATATTTCAGACTTCAAAGAGGTTTTAACCTGAAGTAACGAATAAACCATAAACAGTTCATGGCTTTTGATATCTATTTAATATAGCAGACATTCAAAGTAATGCATGTACTGTGTGTGCGTTAATTAAGAGAAAGCGGAGAACAGAAAAAGGGTGTAAACAGACTTGACTTAATTAATGGGGAGCCACAGGGACCTGTATTAGGACCACTGCTGTTCTTCCTCTTTATCAATGATCTACTGTAAGTTCTGGCATAAATAATAAACTTTTTTTTGTTTGCAGATGATAACAAAATAGGTGAATTAAGAAAGACTGAAGAAACACTTTCATATTCAGTATTCACAAACTTCAAGATTAGACAGATCCCATAAGTTTTACTTACAGGTAACAGAAATACAAAATCTAAATAGAAGATGGCATCAACTGAGGCTGTAAAATCTGCTTATGATACTTTGGTATTTATTCTGCTAAATCACATTTTCTAATGAAATAATGACACTAAAAGTAATGTTAATATTGTACAAAGACATTGACATTTTCAATTTAACGTTTTTAGAATCACTGGAACATAATCTGGAGGTCATAAATGTAAACTAAGAGGAAGTGCATTTAAACTGAACAGGAGGCACTTTTTAACAAAGTGGATTGTGTAATTGTGTTGAGTTTTCCCACATGGGACAAGCTACACAGGCATGACGTTGACAATATCAACCCAAGAGGACTTAAGAATAAATAGTGAAACACGAACCAGAGGAAACAAGTTCAAATCTTGTGGAAGTGCATTTAAAAGCAAGAGCAGGAGGCATTCCTTTACATAAATGGGTGCGTGTGGGTGCCGTGTTTTTGAAGTTGAGACCCTGGAATACTACTCGAAATGGCTGAATGAAACCTTAGGATCAATAAGTTACTAGCACCTACATGAGCTAGATGGGCCAAATGATGGTCTCCTCTCACTTGTAACCTTTCTATGTTCTTTTCAACACTGTCATGCATATTCAGGTTTCTGATTATATTTGCTTACACTTTTCATTTTCCAGAGTTTACATTCTGAAGTACAAGTGTTAGATACCATCTACATACCTAACCCTGTCTACAGTACAACAGAACCGATCCGGAACACGTTATATTAAATCCAGCTTCAGGCATCCACGGTGATTGCACACCATTGCACATCTAGGCATTATTGAAATATACTGCTCAGAACAACTGAAGGAGAAAACGTCAATGTCAGAATATGAGGATTTCAAAACCTAATATAAATGCTAAACAGTTTTCTTGCAAAGCATATCCAGAGAGTAATTCTCCAAACTGGCTGGCTGTAAATTTTGAAGCCATTACAGTAACAGGTAGAAAAGCAAACTTGGGATTTGTGTGACAAAAGAGTTTTTAAATAAACAACATACAACAGTCTCTAATATATTTTGTGTAGCATTAACATGCTCTTGACAACAACAGGGTTTATGTTAAATCTTCACCTAATGGCATCATGAAGAATGGACTGCTGCTCTCAGTCCAGAGCTTGCCTTAGCTTATGAAATATACTGACCACTATATAGTGCGTGCATGTTTACCCTATTATGCTATACCACATATAAAAAGAACCACAAATGGCACGAATAGTACAGTATGCAGATGGACATTTTATGATGAATTTCAGATGAAGTGCATCTATACAGTATTGTACAAATGTCGGGGTTCAGATGTTTTATTTTCAGGTGATACATATAATAATTATATGAAATATACTTATTACAGAATATTAACATTGTGACAACATGGGGAAAACATTGTTTTCATTATAGTCAAATTTGACACAAAAGTCAATACATTTCAAAGGAAAATTAGGTTTATCTGTTCACAATGTTAGTTATAGAAACCAAAAATAGGGTTTATAAAACATCTGCATGTAACCCCAAGTCATAGTCAATATTATAAACCATAACAGGTTTATAAAAATTAAAACTGAAATTGTCTTCACCTAGTGTTATCTACAGCAAAAGCACACCATAACTATTTGGAATGGTGCTGAGGACATAATGTTTTAGTATTTAGGCACTTACAGTAGATAAGTCTAAAAGAGTTTGGTAGTAGTAGTGCTGGTAGAACAGCAGATGGCACTCTTTCCTCTGGATCTAAATGTCTAATCCAATGCCCTGCAAAGGTGACGAGAGATGCTGCGCTGTAGGATGTGCATTCTTTAGATGAGGTACTAATTAGAGGTTCCGACTCTGTGGGCCATTAAAAGTTATAATTAAAAATGCCAAGGGATCATTAATGGATCATTAAAGATTGGGCTTCAATTTGACTGGGAAGCCTTTTCCGAATACCTATTTCTCTTTGAGTAAAGAAGTCTTTCCTACTCGACTCTTTTTCCTAAACAAATCTCCTTTAGGTTTCCAATGGTGACACCATGCTCTTGTTTCACTCGTGATTTTGAAACTATAAGTTGAACATACAGGTATACTATATACAGTATACAATCTTAGGATTTTATAAGCTTACTATAGATCAAATCTCCTCTTATTCTCCTCTTTTTAAGCCTGAGGAAATGTATCTCCCTCAACCAGTCTGTACGACATTCCTCTGAGACCATGAACACATTTGTGTTACTCTTTTTTGGACTCTTTCTAAGGCAACACATTTTTTCTGTAGTTTGGTGACCAAAACTGAATATAGTATTCCAAATCAGGTCTTGCTAGTGCATTAAAGAAATTTAGTTCCCTGGATTTAAAATCCACATTTTTGTTACAGTATAAACCCAAGCATTCTGTGTGCTTTTTATGATTGCTTACCCACGTTGTCTTGATAAGTAAATAAAACAATCAACATAAACACCCTGATAGCTTTCATGTGCAGCTTCCTACAGCTCAGAACCAACTACGTGATGTACAGTATGTAGTAAGCTATGTGCTCCTGTTACTAGTAGATCGCCTTGCATTTATCAATATTGAATTTAATCTGCCAAGTGTCAGCTCAATCCATGATTCTGCCCAATTGTCCCGTCTCTTTGTAACTCCCTTGCTGATATTTCTGTGTTTGCCTCTCCATCTCCACCTTTGTATCATTACCGAATTAAGTGCATTTCTTTGTCATGATGTCTTAATCTTTAAATAAACCAGAATCTAAATTGTTCATATAAATCAGGTAGAGAAACAGGCCCAAAACAGATCCCCTGCACACACCCTCGCTCATCTGCCCAGATAGAGTTTATGCCTATTAAGTTAACTGACTGTTAATCAGTTCTCAACTCACATACATACAGATGCAGCCGTCTAGAATGCACAAGGTGTCATTCGGTATACCGTTGTATACCACAGAGTCCCGGACAATATAACAGTGCATCATGGCATTTTTTTAAAAAATATGATGCAGGACCGCACTGCAATACTCTGTAAAATGTCACTCGCCACTGAAGGTCTGATTTATTGTGCCACCTGTTAAATTACCACAACTGTGTGTTTGTCAGAAATATTTAAACATTATTAAATGTTTATTAACTCATTAATGCTTTCTTGCATCTTAGTCATATTGTATGTATACTGTACTGGTGGCAAAAAATTCACTAAATACAGTGATTACTTTATTGAGACAGGATGCTGTTACCACATTGCTACCACAACCCTACAATTAAATATTATTATTATTTATTATTATGATCAATATCAAAGAAGCAAATTTCCTACAGTACAGAAACGTACAGTAGATAACACAGTGCTTAAAAAAAAACACATCAAACAAATGAAGCAAAAAGTCCATACAAAACCACTCTCAGACAAAAATAGCATTTAATCTTTCTGAGTTATGTAACAGATGACAGTCAAGATTGCAATTGCCATCTGAGGCGCTAACAATTGTGAAATTCAAGCTCTGTTAGAAGAAAAGCTGTCACAAAATATGAAATGTTCTACATTCGTTTTGATGATATGTATACATCTCAGTTACCATATAATAATTCATTCAGCACTATATAAGAACTTTAGGTTTCTACAAAAAATGGTTTACACATAAAATTGTATGTCAGTCTGCTAAAGACATAAATGTAAGAAAAAAATTGCGTTTCAGCAAGAGAATGATCAGGCATGAATCCCATTGAGAATCTGTGGAAGGACTTGAAAACTGTTGTCTATAAGCAACCCCCAAGCAATTTGAGAGCCCTTGCACAAGAAGAATGTGCAAAACTTGCACAAAGCCAGTGTTACAAATTTGATAGAAACTAGAATAATGTCTTATCTGCAGACAAGCAGATATAAAAGGTATCTGTATATTTTTATTTAATATTGTCTATGTCGTATCTGTACTAATAAATAGAACAAGTTCAATTAGTACTATTTACTCTATTCTTATATTGATTCTATTATGTATTATTTATTTCATTCAAGTAGTAGCATTTATTCTATTCTAATAAATAGAATTTAAGTTGATTATGATCACACGTTAAACAGAAATTCATATTTCAAACAGTAATGCAGCAAACAGTGCTAAACAATTGCCTTACATCCAAACTTTCTTTAACAGGATTAATTGTTCATCATCATAAAACAAATCCTCAAAAAATGTTCTGGCACAAAACTGCAGATTACACAACCCCAGACTCAAACATCTGAACACCCCAGGAAATCTTAAGAAAACATCAATTTTACTACTCAATAAGACTGGTTTACGACACAGTGATAAATATTTTGCTTAAAAAATCATGTCATGCTGTGGGTCCTGTTATACTCTCCCACTTTGCAATTGACCAACAACAGTCTAATTGATGTAAGTCTGATGGCTACTGTTAAATTGCAGTTTTCTGCACCATCTATAATTCCAAGGTCCTGAGCCACACGGCACCCAAAAAACAAACAAAAAAATCACATAAGTCTTACATGATGCTACACCAGAATAAGCACCAACCTCTCCATACTGGTAGAGTTCCATGACGATCCACACAGGATCCTCCTCAATGATTCCTATCAGCCTCACAATGTGTGGATGGTCAAGTTTTTTCATGATCACTGAAACAGCAATCATACAGAAATTCATGGATTCCAAATACTGTAACAAACAGCTGAATGCATGGAAATCTTAAACACACTCTCACAAAATAAAAACTGAGTTGCAATGGGCATAAACAACACAACAAGTGAAGAAAATAATAATTTGAAGTGATCATAATTTGCAAATGATCATACTGTACTTTGCTAAAGAACAGAAGAACCCTGTAAATGATTCCCATTTTGACTAATGAGTGTCACACACTGATGAAATGGAAACATTTGACTCAAAATATTGAATTCAAAGATTTTAAATTTAAAAATCTTGATTCAGATCTTGAAGTTGTGGACTCAAGAAGTGAAGATCTGAAACCCACTTTAACATTCTAACACGATCAAAGTGAGGAAACGTTAAAATTGAAAACCTGAAAAAAACTGTAAAACATCAGTTCGAATCAGGTAAACCAAGATTAATAAACTTTGTGTATTGCGTATTTTGTGACAGGCAAGTTAAGCCCCTGGCCTACTTACCAGCTTCACTCATGAATTTCTCCTTCACATCAGGAGAACAGTCCTTGCAGGTTTTCACAGCAACACTTATCCTCTCTCCCTTCTGAAAAAAATAAACAAAGAGGTTGACTCATGTAAAAATATGCCCTGCTAAATAAAATTAACACAAAGGACCATTAGTCCATCCACCCAATTTCAATAACAGGGTTGCAGTAATGGAGCCTAACTGGACAGGCAATGAGCACAAGGTAGGACACACTCTAGAAAGGATGACAGACACACATAAGGGGGACAATTTGAAGGCACCAGTTAGCCTACATAGCACGTCTTTTGACTGTAGGACGAAACCATCCCAGTGAGAACCTATGGAGAGACAGGAAGAACAACTCCACAAGGAAGGCACTCAAGGCTAGAACTGAACCCAGAACTCGATTGTAAGCAACAACAACCACCATGCCCCCTAACCACCCTATCTAAAGACCACAGAGTATATCTGCATTTACTGATATGTTTGTTTTAAAAAATGACGCAATCATTCTTATTTTATACAGATGGAGTCAATAAATGATTAGAAATCTATCAAGCTCCTTAAAGAAAGAAAAGGAGAGACAGAACTTCAGCTTCTGATCGACTGGGAGAGTCACAGCTGCTCGCAGCTCCTGTCTACCAGTAGCCGTTCCTCTCCCTGTAAATACACTAACACCGACTCTCCAGTAGTGTGGAAGCTGAGCTGGAGATTAGCTGCTCACCGGTGCTCTCTGGCTGAGCCACAAGTCCTGTATAACAGCTGAAATCCTGTCGACTGCAGGAAGAAAAGTGGAATGACAAGCTACAGATAAAGCAGCTTGCGTCATGACAGCTGTGGACTTGATTTTTTTTTTAATGTGGATGTAGATTTCTGTTGTTATTGCTCATTCATAAGGATTAACCTTTAGTGTTTTTTTTTCCTTTATTTTTTCAAATTCAACATACAGAGCACTAAAGGTCTAGGACAGCTTCAGAAGCTTTCTCTCTGTCATCGTATGTTTTGCCCATTACAGATACAAATATCGTATTACATAATAAGAATTCAATCGTAATACCATTAAAACGAAAGTGTGTAACTTGCCTTGTCCTTATAAACTCCTTCATGCACCTCCCCAAAAAAGCCTTCCCCCAGAATCCTCCCCAGGACAATATCATCTCGGGAGATTCCAAATTTTATAACTAGAAGAGAAGAATAACATTTATTTTTTTATTTCTCCTAAAATGTTTTTATTCTCTACTTTTTGAAGTCTCAGATTTTTTTTACACTTAGAAATAGGAAATCTAACACCGACTCTTCAGTAATGGAGGTGAAGCGGCTTCACTGGATATTTGCTTCTTTCATTATATTACTGTGATTTCATACATATATTCTTACATATTAAAAGGGATGTAAAGAATATTTAACTTTTTTATTTCTTACCCGACTTTGGCCGTTCATCTGGTATCTCCGCATAGATGTCAGACCCTGCCACATGGAAAATAAATTGTAATTGGTTTGGCCTTATTTCTAGTTGTTTTCCACATACAGTATAGTATATGCTGAACCTTACTGCAAACATCAAAGAAATTCATCAATTTAAACATTCAAATCCCTATACTGAGCAAATGGCAAATTATAATAGAACAGTCAACTTTATTCTGAACTGCCTGGCTTACCATTTTAAAGAATAGAGGAATCTTAAATAATTATGGAAGAAAAAACATTTTCAGCAAAAAGGTCTTCTTTTGAACATTTTTTAATAGAAGCTGTCTGACACATACCTACGCTCTCCCTCACAGTAGTGTTGGATCCCATGTTCTTGTGATCACTGGTAACAGAAAGGCAACATTACCAGCTACACCAAATATACCACCCAGAAATCCCCAATAATACTGGGTCAATCTACATTCATTTTTAATTTTCAAACTATTACCATGTGGTATCTCAAGGAAGAGCACTTTCTTTCTCATAACGGCTCAAGTGAGATTTCACCATATGCAAGAAGAAAGAGCACAAACGCAAGCCATTTCTGAGGTTCCTCTTCTTCACAGGCTAAAGTAAAGCTCAAAGTCTGCTGTACAGAGCCCGGCCTTGAGGACTGCTAGCTACTACTCTGAATTTGAATGTGATGTCACATTCATCGAGACAACACAAATTCAGTCTTGTATTATCTTTCTATATCTCCTGTGGTTATCTCAGCAGCATTCTCAGATCCTTCTATTTCCCGACAAAAAGGATGACTGCATTGGCAGACAATTTTTCAGATGGGTTAAAATACCAGCTTTACCAATGGGAAGAGATCCCTTAAAAGAGGGGTGTGTCCCATGCATTTATAAATTAAATCTTCAAAACAATAAGGTTCAGATTTCAACCTGCAGCTGGTCATGACAGATATGCCTTTCAGGGATCTCAAGTAATAGTTATAAATGAACTTTCCTTCTATCTAGAGAGCACAGGAAAAAAAAAAATTGAAACATTATCAGTGCCCTTGAAATATTCATCCCTGGAAATAAATATAGTGTAGTACAAGACCACAGCTAAACAGCAGCAATCTACTGTAGGTGGTACATGGAATAATAATGGGAAGTGTGTGCTTCCCCATGGCTCCTTCTCTTATGTACACAAATTGTCATGCCAGAAAGAAATCAAAACAAAACTGAATTGGTCATCTACCAGTGTGTCTGCAAGAGTCCTGTACAATTAATCCAAATGTAAGTCATGCCCATTTACCACATGGTTTTAATGACCTTTATAAGGGTCCCCATATTAGAATTTCATCATCATACCTTCAACAATTTTATTTTTACATTACACTTCAAACATACATCAAAGTTTACCTTATCCAGTTTAGCTGTTATCCATATACAGTACAGTACATTTTCAACATGGTCAAAGGGTTTATGGTATTAATATGAAAATGCTTTATTCCACTAAAATTATCTTTTGTAAGCCAAAATAACCCTTTTGTAAGCCTACGTTTAAATTTATTTTAACTGTACATGATTTTATATTATGGATAGGTGTTGGGGCACTATCAAAACAACTAATATTGATGAATGTAGGCTTATTGGCATATTGAGGGTGCAAGAAGGTTAAAGATTGCACTAAGCAAAAAGCAGACTATGAACCAGAATTTTTTTCTCCTACTGCTCCAGCTACACCTATATCCTCACATGACTGATATATACGGCACTTATATGATATATTTGTATCAGTCATCATTCTAAAAAAGTGGTAAAAAAATTAAACTTACGCTGTAGGAACAGCTGGAAGAGAATTTCGGAAATCCTTGTCTGCAAAAAAACAAAATAAAGAATATGATAAAGGAGTCCTATCTGTCTTGAATATAGATAATATGTTGTACATGTTCTTTTCAAACTAACGCAGATCCTCTGTATTTACATTTTTTTGGCATTACATAGCAAAGATCAAAAGGCATTAATCTGTGCTAAATGCATCTAACCTGGTAAATATACAGCTAACGACAGATGTTTGCAAGGTTTAACAACTGAAAATAATTGACTACTGTTCCATAAAAAACTAAGAGAACATACATGAAAATTAACAGTATTAAGGCACAGCATAGTAGCACGATGAATTGCTTGATTCTTGAAAAGGAGAAGAGGGAAAGGATTTTGCTGTTGTATTTTGTAATTCTGCTATGTTGATATATTTGAGAAAGAGGGTAAAAAAGTCATTACTATTACAGGTGTCTTTCAAAGATCGATTCTAAGCACACTATCCAAGTTACTGTAGCTTACTAAAGATGTTAAATCACCTGACTTGCAGCATCCTGAAAAGGATGAAACATCTTAGTGGCTTTTCAGATAGTTGTTTTTTTACATCTGCAACCCATGCTAAATATATAAGGCTGAAACTAAATCTTGTTCTCTAGGAGCCTGCTGTGGTTTCAGACTGCAGTGAAACCAATGTACGCTAGCATTCTTCTGAGTCAGACAAAAAGCTCATTTGCTCTGAAAAAAGTACTGCAGCATGATTTGTAAACTTTCTTCCTGTGTCGCACTCCACAACAGCCTAAAAACGTACTACAATTCTTCTGTTAAATGAGACTCCAAAAAACACTATGTTGGTCATTAGTTAAGAACTAAGAAAAAATATTGAATTTCTCAAGAATAAAAAAAGCTAAGATAGAGGAGAAAAATAATAATTGAGGACACGGTGTGCTTAGGAAGACATCAGCTGCCTTGACCACTGGAAAGTGATGGATTACAATTAAATGACCAGTCAGTCTAGGCTAAGCATCCACAAAGAAAATTAAAATGGAAGGGGGAGAATTCAAACAAACTCTGCAAGGGAGGTACAGCTAAATTATGGTCAAAGCGAAAACTCCAGAGAAACCTAAAACATCTAGACTAAAGACTGGATAAATACTTATAAAATAATGCAGGAAATATCGAGTGGCAGGAGTGGGATTCGTGAGTGGCATCACTTCATTAAACTACAATTTAATGTTTAATGGAAAACACTAAACTTGAAGAAGCTGCTTGTGAAAAAGACCTACAGTAGGTGATTCATACATTAATGGGGCACACTCTATTAGGAATCTTTTCTCAATGACATAGCTCCCCCCCATATTCACCTTTATAGTGTAAAAAGTGTTTCTCCCTGTGATTGACTACCATCCTATCTATGTTGTACTCTTGTGCTGTGTTCTTCTTGTATGAGCTCTGGGGTGGTGTGACCCTCATCAGGAATAAGTGGTATATAACTGGTAACCATCATGGTCCGGGGGTTGATGCAGGAATATGTTTTGCTTTTCAGCCTCAACCAACATTTTTGTGGAGATGGGGTACATGTAGTGGAATATTAAAGCAAATAAATTATAGATTTGACAAAAAAGGCATCTCAGAATTTTCTTTGTAACAAATTTGTGAGCACTCAACAATGTAGAATTGTACGAGTTATTGTGACATTATTTCTGATCCTTGCATTATATATTTAGAATTAATCTTTTTTACTTTTCAGTTGGTAATTGCCAATTGATAATCAATCTCACAATGTATGTGCTCTTTGTCTTATAATACCAGTCTCCTGACAAAACTTTAAATTTTAAGTTCAACTACAGGACAAGTCAAACTTAAGCCTTCAAGATGTTAATCAACTGATCAAGTATTTTAAAGTATTTTCATCCAAAATGCAATTTAAAGACGTTTGAATGTAGCTGCCTCAACCTGAAGGCTTCAAAAAGAAAAATAAGTTAATTCCAAGCTGAAAAGCAGAAAGACAAAATGCAACATTTTGATTTTCCTTCTACTATTCAATATGGAGTTGACCTCTGATTTCTCCAAATGTAATTTACACCAGTTAAACATATTTCTAAACAAATCATTCTTTCTTTTATTAGAAATTACTTGTTAGTGGGCAGTGTTACATAACTCCTGTTTTGTTCTCCATGAACATGTGGCATCAATTCAACTTTAGATAATTAAATGTGAGCCTGTAAATGGAACTTTAACTTGCAAATTTGCCAGCAGCCATATCACCCAGCAACTCACCACTGGCAACCCACTGAAGCTAAGCAGTTGTGAGTACCTGGATGGGAGACCTCCTGGAAAAACTAAGGTTGCTGCTGGAAGTCGTGTTAGAGGGGCCAGTAGGAGGCGCTCACCCTGAGGTCTGTATGGGTCCTAATGCCTCAGTATGGTGACAGGGAGATTATACTGTAAAAAGGCGCCGTCCTTCAGACAAGACGGAAAACCGAGGTCCTGACTCTCTGTGGTTATTAAAAATCCCAGGGTGTTTCTTGAAACAAAAGGGGTGTTACCCCTGGCATCCTGGACAAATTTTTAATAATCCCCATCTATGAACTGGCTTCATTACTCTGTTCTCCCCCCCACTGATAGCTGATATGTGGTGAGCTGGTGCTGGTGCAATATGGGTACTGTTGCATCATCCAGGTGGGGCTACACATGGTGGTGGTGGAGGGGAGTCCCCATTTCAATATTAATTTTGTGTGTAGGCACTGAATGGTTTGGGGCACGTGTAACAGCCATGTAAATTTCTGCTGATATCACTGTGAACTGCTAACTTACTTGAGACTCTTACATATCTAAGTAATCAATAAAAAGCATAGAGTAAAATGCATCCTTTTGCTGTTTCTCTTACCTCCAAGAACAGCCTTCACTTTACAAAAAAGTCAGCTATAACTTTAACCAGTAGACATACTGTGTGAAGATTTTTAAACAGGATCAGTTAGAATTTATGCATTTGGTTACCCTAGACCCTTCAAATGAATAAACCTCTTGTAGTATTAAACAATTATGACAATAGGATTAACTTCATTTTCAGAAACTAAGGGTGAGGGCTTTTAAATCACAGACACTATACAACAAAATGGAGACAAATTTCACAATATCTCTCAAATTGCTAAGGCTGCACAGACTGGTGTGAGAGCATGATCCCTTAATTGTCAGTTAGGAGTCTTATAAACTTACAGTAACAAGAACCGCTTGACAGGCATGTAATTAAAGTCTAATTTTGGGTTCTTTGTATTAGGAACAGGGTGCGAAAACAGAATGCTTTCCAGTATACAAGCACAAACTCCAAATATTTTCTTGATGTTATAACCATTGCTTTTATAGTAACATGGGATTTTTCCATTTATGTAAATTCCACGTACATTTTATCCTTATATTCATATTATTTTGTAGCTTTACCTAGTACATTAGAAAAGGCTGATTAGTATTTAGTCAAGAATAGATCAAATGCACTCTACACTATTACAGGAAGAGTCCTTTAGCATGAATATTAACATTATTAACATGTTTGAGTATTTCAAAAATAAGGACTCTCAGATTGCCATCCGATGAAACAATCCTAGGGATTCTTTCTGTCTAAGAATCCCTAGGATCAACATGCATCTGAAACTGTTTAAATTTTGTAATTTATTACCATCTCAGGGATTTTTAGTTGTCTGCAGAAATGTTAGCTATATTGACCAAGTTGGCTGTCATATGTCTGAAATTCAAAGGCCCAGAAAGTCAAGTAAGTAACAGGAGAGTGAAGGAAAAATGTCAATGGCTGTCTTACCTTTTCTTGGCCTTACAATCACCGACGTGTTAGCTCCATTCTCTAACCGACAGTAACCATCTATAAGGTCGGCCATGTTCTCTGCCATCGCTAGGTTAGAGGTATTGATGGACAAAAGCTAAAAAAACACACATTTTGCGCATGTAAAGCAACCAGCACATAGTGTGAACTCAGTATATACATAGAGAACTCAGTTAAACAATTTCCGCAATGCACAATCATAACACACATAGCATGAGAAATGTTCAGTTAAAAAACAAGCCTTGTGGCCCATCTAGCTCCTTTCATAGTTAGTAGCTAATCATTCCGATCTCATCCAGGCGTTTCTCAAACAGACAGGTTATCGGCTTCAACAATGTGGCTGGGCAGTGTGTTCCATAATGCGGCAAAAGAGTACCTTCTAGGCACTGTAGGGAAGCAATGAGAAAGGCAAATGGCATGCCGGTTGAATGTATGGAATTAAAATCAAGGAATTTTGCAAAGAAGTGTGACCAGATACAGTCATGGGATTAAAGGAATATCCTGCACAGACAGGCTGGTAGAAATTAAACTTGTTAGTCTCCAACAGAGAAGACTACCAGGGGACCTGATTCAAGTATTCCAAATCCTGAAAGACACTGACAAAGTGAATCCAATGGACTTCTTAAAAACCAATACTGAAACACAAACAGGACAACCTCTGTGGAAACTAAGGGAAAGGGCATTTAAAACCAAGAACAGGAAGCGCTTCTTCAGCCACAGGCTTGCGGGAGTGTGGAACAAGTTACCCAGTCATGTTGTTGAAACTGTTACTGTGGCTTCTTTCATGAAATGGCTGGATGGATCAATTGAATCAATTAGTTACTAAAAAACAAACCATACGAGTAAAATGACCCACTCTTTTTTCTAAACATTCTTTAGTTCTGAAGACAATGTGGAAGTATAAGTCTGAGAGGCGCATACTCTTAATTTGTATTCAATAATATTATCAATGTCTGTGAAATAGCTGGTTTACTACCTGCTTGGCTCCAGTTATCTCCAGGTGTAACTGCCCTCTGTCATTGTCCTGTAAGGAACACTTAATGCTTCTAATCTGTTTGAACTCTGCTAAACAGATGGCCTGGAAAACAAACAAATAATTGTTTTTCATTATTATTACAAGCCATAGAAGGTCAGTGCATTGAACACTTGACATTTACAGTATATACAGAACATACTGTATGGAGAAGAATGGCTTCACACCATCAGTTATACATGAAGCTGGCAGAAAATAAACAGTACACTTTTATGTAAACGGAGCATTAATGGTTTGGCATTACCATTGAAGTCCCTGTTAAAACATAATAACAATTCATATACAGCAATGTTTCAATCCTATAGGTTTATTACACTTACAGTGCCTTGTAAACGTTTGCAAACAACATTTTGGGACACAAAAGACTTTGTGGTCAGACAAAACAAACACTGAACTTTCTGGTTTAAAGTGCAAAGCCCTGCATCCCTCGCATACCAATCATTGTGCCTCACTCAGTCAATAACATGCCTAATGTCAAGTGTTATGGTGGCAACGTTGGGTTCAGTAGTTCTGCTTCTCTTTAGAATGTACGGAGAAGCTAGTCAGGACTGATAGGAACATACTGTAGATGGAGTAAAGTACTCCAAAATCCTAGAGAAACACCTGCTTCAGGCATAAAACTGGGACAAGAATTGACCTTTCAGCATGACAATGATCCAAAGCAAAAGAACAAAGCTACATTGGAGTGGCTTAGAATAAGTAAATTAATTCTTGAATGGCACAGTTAAACTCCTGCCTGAATTTTACTGTCAATCTGTACAGACTGTCCATAAACAAAGCAACTTGGGAAAGCCTGAGCAGCTCTACCAGGTGAATGAGCACATATTGCATGAAGCCGGTGTGCAAAGTTGATAGAGACGCACCCAAAAAGACTTGTAACTGTAAAAGGTGGCAAAGGTTCTTCCACCAAATACTGAGTTTGTGGGTCTGAATACTTATTCAATCAACATATTTCTTATATATTATTTATATTGATATATATATATATTGATATTTATTTTGTTGACATTTACTGTAATTTATCTTACCCATAGAAGACTTCAGCTTGAGCATTCAGGTATTGAATGAACGTCAAAAAATGTTCATACAACCACAGGCAGGGTTTGAATATGTTTGCAAGGCAATGTACTGTACATCTGTGTTTTAAAACGCCTAGGCAACAAAGTGGAGAGGGGAGGAACATGCTAATAACAGTTAAATCACCAAAGTTTGCCTAAAGCAACACTGATTGTGTTAAACACTTAAGGGTGTGCATACTGTAAGTTTTATATCTCAGCACTATCAGTTCAAAGGCATTCCACGTTTTACTGGCCTATGTGCAGACACTGTTCCTTTAGCCATCACTGTCGTATACAGCTTGAACAAACCCCAAATCCATCTGCAACTGATTTTCAAGCTGAATGAATTGCTCACCACTGCCTCTTTATTTGAGCGCTGGCGAATTCCTTTTGGTCCAATAACCAGGTCAACTGCAATACTCCAGCCTTGCTGTGAAGGGGAAAAGCAAAATGGCACTTTTACTATCTTGTCATAGTTTACTTCAAATGGAAGTTTACCTTCAGAGCAACAGCTGTCCGGAAACAGTGTCAGATCTTTTGCAATTCAATCAAAGATGCTATGAAAGCTGGCTCTAGAACCAATGCAGTCTGATGAAGACACTGAAAAAAAAATCTTCGGTTCTTCTTCTTTGTTGAAAAGGTGAAGTAACATTTGGCAGCGTTCAAGTTAGATCTGGAGAAAATGACTGACAAGGAAAAACAAAAAAGCAAATAAGACAGAGACTCACCACCAGCTCACAGGGGTAAACCTCCTCCTCAAAGCTGGAGACACTGCTCAAGGTTTCAAAGAACTTTGCAATGCACTCATCCTCCTTCAGTGTGGCATACTGCTGGAATGTCTGCTGGATCATCTTCCGCAGATGTTTGGGCTGTTACAACAAAACAACACCAAGAGTTAAAGTAAATAACTACATTACACAGAGGCATACGCTCCTTACTTTTCCTAAACCTTCAGAACAGGGTTCTCTATAATTGTGTGTCTTTTCTTTTCTTTGACAAGTAACACATTGCAATAATAATTGTTTTTAGTAGCAAAGCATTTAAGAAAACACCTAAGATGATGCCCATCTTAGAACTGCTTCAAGGATAGATACGATTTTTTTTCGTAGTTTTCAGGCATGCCATTAATGACTTTGCTGACCCTTTCAAGTACTCAAAGCAAATAATTCCAAGACATACAGGTGAAGTTATTTACTACAAGTGCACAAATAATTATCATGCTAGAATTCTCTCCTTTCAAATGCTAGTTTCAACACCAATCCTTATAACATATTTTCATGAGAAAATAACATGACATCACTCAATGATCTTTTGGTTGATTAAGTCTATGAATCTACTACTAAAAAATTTGCTTTGAAGCTCTGAAGGGACACACGGAGCATACTGTACACGGTGTTGATTAATTAAATTTACTGTGCTGCATACTGTATCTAAATAAAACACTGAATTCGTTAAAGAAGTTGATTCTCTGAAACCACAATAAGTCAAAAGAATGCAAAGAATAAGAGAATAAGAGAAACAATTTATTAAGCAACAATATTTTAATAATTTTGTAAGAAGCACATGACATTTAGTGTAATTCTAAGTACATAAAGCCATGCTGACATCAGTCCAAGTGCTACATGTTAGAGCTTCATTGCAATTTTTAAAATTAACATTGACATTTCCTCTTATTTATAAAAAATCTAACACAAACAGGACCAATTCCAAATATAAAATGCATTTCAAACCACTTCTATTAAAATTCCCCTTGTAATACTTTTAAACGTTCATATTTTTTGTGTTTTTATTAATCTTGAGACATGAGATATAAAGTATTTTTTTGCATTTTTGTCCCAAAAACTATTAGATTTTAAAGCCCACTCATATTTTGTTCCAATATAATGAAAAAAACTAACAGCTAGCTGTACTGTCTTTGGCTGAAGTTTGTCTAGAATTAGAAATGTAGGTTTGATTACCAAATCACATTTCTTTTTTTACATTTAACTTTCTATTATCACTTTCTGCTTCCATTTCTCAACTGTAGCCTTACTATGTTCACCGACAGCAGTAAGTATGCAATACTACAGTACTTTTCCCTCTGCCAGTGGGATTTTAAACTCATTTTTAATTGCTAATGGAGCCTAAAATTAACATGAAAAGGATCAAGCCAAGGAATACTGTTCTTATTTTGTAATTAAATAATCACGTCATTTTATACAGACTAGAAGGTAACATGGACCCAGGTTTTAAGTTTCTTCCAAGAAAGGACTATAGGTAGTTTGAGCAGCTTGTTCAGAGTAAGACCTTTAGCACAGCCTGAAGTCGTATGTTTAAAAAAATAAACTCTACATTTACTAATACTTGCATATTACAAAAAACTTCTTTATGCTGTGCTAGAGTTACAATCCAATCATAAATATTTCTTCCCAAATATTTATTTCACATTACCTTCATACTGTCCATCAGTTCTTTTGGAAAGAAGAGATCTAGACCTACATCCTTCCTAGAAAATGAAAAAAATGAAGATTTGACATTTTAAAGAGATTATAAAATGTACTTTTTCTCATAATATTACATTGATCTGCATTCAGAGTTCAGTATTAAAATGGTATTAAAGGGATGTATAACTGCATATTTCAGTCACAAGGATGTGGTGATGTTGCAAAAACGAGGTTAAAGTACATCGTCATTTCTTATTCCCAGTATATTGTTGATTTACTGTATTCATTTATATTTTTCTATTAATCTTGTATACACATTGTATATAGTTTCATGCACATCCAGTTTCACCACATTGATTGTTACTCATGATATAATTCATAGGTTTCTGCATAACCTATTTACAGGGTACAGTACGTTTCCATAATTATATGGGACATTATTTAATGTTTACATGTAGATTAAGGTATGATTTTCAGTTGCATTCTAACCCAAATGAGAGTTTCAGAAAAAAATGAATAAAATATCTTTGAATATTGTATAAAAAAACGAATAATTTGTGCTTTACCTTAGGATACAGTCAGTAATGCAGACTACTAGAGGATGCTCACCTGGATATCACACATTCTTTCAGAGTGTGAAAGGACTAAATGGGCTGATTTTTCACAGTGGGTGAGCTGTCAATTTAACAAATTTGCTATGGACATTAAGATAAAACAGTTCTTGTGGTTTAATTAGATTTTAGGCCTGCAATAACAAAGACCAGATGAGAGCGGTTTTCATGTGTTTATGTGCACTGTTGCTATTATGGAAACTTGAAGAGCTCCCCCAAACCACAGATTCCATTTACCACCACAAACAATACACCATTCCCCAGCACACATGAACATAAGCACATACAAACACATACAGTATACGTGCTACAGCTCTAGATAACTGCATTGTACTTACTCCAGCAATTCAAAATTTGATTTCTTTTCCAGACCTTTAGCATTCATATCTTTATAAAATCTCCTGTTGGTGGAAAAAAGAGACAAAAGTACAGCAATTTAAATCACTAACGCGATCATTCTCAATCTCTGAGAATATTTACCTTGATTCATCCTGATATTGCTTTATACAATGTCTCTCCTGCATACATCATTGCTTTTCTGATACAGTCCCTAGAAGAATATAATGAATTGCATAACATACACAGCTGAAAAGGTGTTAAAAGAAATTAAACACCCACCACACAAAGGTATATTTATTTATTACTTACATAATAAAAGCCATATCCAAAGATGTACAAGGTTAATTACCTTTAGCCAAAACACTTACGGATGGAAGATTTCTGACAAAGTTTATCACTGGTTTAAACTTCATCAACACACTTCACTGACATTGAGTGACTATGAATATACAGAGGATAGAGTTACAGAGTTTAGGAGCTCAAATGCTAATACTCGGCACATGGTAATATCAATCACAGTATTTATAGATAATTGGATGTGCTGGAGCACTTTGAACTCAAAGGTTTTGCTCAAATGCACTTGAAATGCAAGGCATGAATAAAGGGAGCTAAAACAATAAACTTCAGGGGATTCTAATGTGTTGATCAGTCTTTCCGTGCCTTTCAAACATCCTTTTCTTTGCTGGAGCATAACCATGCTAATATATTTCCTTTCAAAAGCATTTAAGCAAAAATAGATAATACAGAAGAAGAACTGAAAAAGATTACAAGAAAACAAAGTAAATAGATTTGTGAAGCAAGAAAACATCTCTTTTTTTTTACTTTGAAATCCATCAGAATGTTTTTCATACTGTCCTTTGCAATATTGATACTGTAGTAAGAACCCTTTGAAAGAAAGGGCCTGAAAGGCAAACTCACTGTTACCTGATTTCCAGACACCCCAGCTGCAAAGCCATCCCATCACTCACTTTGTTTGCACAGCGCTGCATGTAGTCACAGCGAACCTGCACAGGGAGAGCAGCGACCACAGCTCAGCATTTTCAACAACCAGCCCGAAGGCTCTCAACAAATGTTACATCCACGCCGGACTTCACTTGACACTTGAGACAAAAGTCCAAGTTCTTTACAAGGCCAGTTAAAAAAGTCTCTTCAGCTGCTTTTCTGTAAGTGCATAAATGAATGACTTCCTTTCTCCTCGTGTAAGATACTGTACTGCGTTTATCTAGCTGGTTCAACGGTTCCAACTCTGTGTGTCATGTAATCAAAACGGAAACATACAAATCATGGTGTGTACTTTGTGCCATAAAAATAAAGAGTATAAATAATTCATCAGCAAAAAAACTAACATTTTACAAAGATAAAGAGCTTGCTTTTCTCCTATATTGTAACACTGGAGTTGTCATTTCAGCTGAGAAACTCAAGGGCCATTTAGATTGTAGTGCACTTGCTGGAGTAATTTGAGTGAAGTAATTTAATGGTATAACAGCTACAGTATGTTTCACCTAACCCTAACTATAACCCATCCCCCTCTCTGGTCAGAAGTCCAGAACCTAAACACATGGATACTGCCTTTTTTCATAATGTGACATAAGCCCACATTATTTTACAAAATGTCCAGAAATATGTTACTGTTTTTTCACACTTGCTTTCACACATTTTCCAAAAAAAACCATAATCTCCCATCAGACGTCTTTGAATACTTAATGCAAAACCCTGAATCACCATCTCTTTAAATACTATTTTTTTCCTATTCGAAGATATTTAAACTGCTGATTGCTTGTCATTCAAAAACGATTGTATCATGTGCTCAAGGTGTGCAAATAATATGTCCTGTCAGTTCCAACAAAACTAGAGCAACAGTAACACGTCACAGAGATAATGCAAGCAGCTGGTTGTGTTTACTAGTTTAAAGTTGTACCAAAGAGGTAAACTGCAGCATCAAATGCCAGAATATTTCAGGCTCTGAAATTTAAACCCAGTGCACCATACTGGAGTTGTAAGGTCAGTTTTACAGAAATTGCTGATTTCTCACAATACTGTGACTTTGTGTTTGCATTGAATTGAATTGACAGGAAACCCAGCAGTGGTGGTGTGACAGGGGTTCCACTGCAGAGCATGAGTTGGTCCTAGCGAGGAAGTAAAGGTTTATTCCATGCTGAAAAGAGAAGGAAACACAACATTTCGTCTGTGGAGCCTTCTTCGCATGTCAGGGCTCCACAGCCAAAAACGCTGTATTTCCTTTCTTCTCGTGTCAGCATGGAATAAACCTTTACTTGTACCTTTGCAGCCTACGCATACTGATGCAGCTCCCTACTTGAACTACTCTAGCGAAGAAGTGCCAACCTTATAACCGAACTCTCTTCAACAAACAGCTGGATGAGATTACTGGATCAATTAACAACTAATTACCAAAGCGCTAGGTACAGTAGGTCGAATGGCCTCCATTCCCTTTCAACCATAACTGGCCAGCTTTTGAAAAACCTCCAAGTAACCATGAAGCAGATATATCTGGTGCCTTCTCAAAGAAAAACAAATGCAACAGGAATACTTTCAGGTAAGTGTAATTTTAGTACTGTACTGCAGTACAGGTATGAAGAGCAAGAATTTGTACAGTATGTGAGCATGGGTCTGTGTGCATATGTTTTTGCTATGCAAGACATTTCCTATAATACGATAGGAGGGCCACTGATCACTGATTGTGACCACTGATCTTTAAAACCCAGCAACTCACATTAGTTCTTTTTCAGAGAATGTTGGATTGTGATTGTTGCGTTGACCAACTGCCAACACAAGATGAGAGTCTGCATGCTGATGAACAGGGCTTGAAACTGGCCATACTTCAACACCATGGCCAGCGACATTACTGGCCAGCGACCCACAGCCAGTGTGCTGGGGCAGAATGTTAGAGAAATAATGGTCTGTGCTGCCACTGTGGAAAATGTGACACAAATTACTGCTAGGGCCATACAATGTATTTTCTGCATGCATTGAACAATTGTCTTCTATGTCCAAATACTGGTATTAATTTTGTTCTGGTCTGGGACAACAGAAACCTTCACTATACCCCGGCAGTAAAAAATGCAGCACATTCAGAGTTCATCATGCTATTCCTGCTATCCTATTCTCCACTAAACAGTTCCCTAGAGGGAATATTTGTATCTGTAGGTGAAAGGGGACTGTATATGACTGCCAACCTTATGACCTCGTCACCCTCATCCAGTTATAGATAAAGCATACAAAAACATCACAGTGCAGTTGCAAGGGTGGATAAGGCACTTCAAGGGATTTTCCCATGGTGCCTTGCTACTGATGTCATCAAATGCAATGTGGATGCAAATCTGTGACCTCATGCTGACTTGATCAAAGATGATTAATAGTGCTTAACATTATGCATATGCATAATTTGTTATCATTATTTTATTCATAGTAATTTAAACCCCATTATTTAAAAATTATGTATCTTTAGTTAATAGTACAATTTGTGTGAAATAATAAATATGTTAAGTATTGTTTAATGTTATTTTGGTTCAATGACTAAAATGAAAATTCAAAGGTTTTGACTGTGTGGTGCTATTTACGTCCTTTAAAATGCTGTGTTTATATAATTATATATAATGCTTGCCTGGTTACTAGTGTTTGACGCTCGAACAAGCAGTTTAGGTTTATGTACTCAGAAGTTTACACTTTAGCCCATTGACACGCTGTAAAATGTGTCAAAGCACGTCTAAAAAAAGTAATGCTAAATGCAACCAGAGCGCTTTACAAGTAAATGGAACAGTTTAGTTAGAATAAAAAGAGCAGCCATACAAAA